ATTGGAATTGAAATTCCCAGTAATTCTATTCCTATAAACCAAACACTGGAATTTAAATTTCCACTTTATTCCCAATAATTTATCTTCCATGAAATTGTAATTCCTTTCCCACGTAATTCCCCCTCTCCAACCAAACGCCCTGTAATTTCCTCACTTTTTTTCTCTCTCTCTCTTCTTCTCTTTCTTCGATATATACAAGAAATTAAAAATTTACAGAGTTTCAAATTTTTAACTCACCGTGAAACTTATCAACCAACAAAAAAAAAAAAAAAAATCATAGATAGATAAATAGATTATACATGCATGCAAGTCCAAGTTAACCTAACTGGTTAAAAAAAAGTGCATATAACTAAAAAGATTTTGCAAAAAAAAAAAAAAAAAAAAAAAAAGTCTACTTGCAAGTTGCAACCTTATTATTATTATTATTATTATTATTATTATTATTATTATTATTATTATTATTATTATTATTATTTGGATATTTATAGTTTGGTCTGCAATCCATAACAGCAATATTAAAATGAAAAGATTCCATGGCTATGCAACTTCACTTAATTAGCTTCTAGCTAGCTTATCTATCCTTTAAACTTTAGTCTACACGTAACTCGAAACTGCAAACTTCTTTGTTTGTACACACAAGTTGACGTAGATGGTGACTGGTGTTAAATAAACTAATATAATTAGTAATAATTGCGTTAGGTTTAGTGGTAATGACTAGGATAATCTCTCTTTTGTAACCTCAAGAAAACAAACAAGAAGAAGGCGGTGAAAACAGGGCTGCAAAGTCGCCCTTAATTATTGTACCAGGGCTTTGACAATGTTACCTTAAAAGGACAAGGGAAATGACTAAACAATTGTTGTTAAAGTGGCTTTATTATGCCTAACTTAGATTAATTAATTAATTAGGTTAAGATTAACTAACTGCTTAAGATTAAATTGGGTTGATTCTTTGGTCTTTCCTCAAAGTCTAAAAGGGTACTTTTCAGAGTTTCAGTTTCGAGAAATGGGAGTTTAGAAAGGCTGTCACGCCTTCTCGTGCCCAATTACCTAAACCTGCACTCTATAGTCTATACAGACCTTTATTGCCATATAATATTTCAAGAAGCTTCTATCATATCATGTTATGTATGCATGCATGTATTGTGAATTACTGTGTTTGAAATTGTTTTACTTTTTTTTTTCTTTGTTTAAAAGGGAAATAATATAATACTTCCAATTCTGAATTATATATAGTGATACATTTTATTTTTTCTTTAGATATTGACAAAACAATCAGTAAAAAAGAAATATTTATATGCAATTTAAAGTTTATTTTTTCTTGAAGTGATTGGTTTTAGTCATGTGTTTTTTCAAGAATTAGTAGCTTGTATATGTGAGTATATCTCTTTTCCTTATAATAATAATAAAAAAATGTGTTGTGTCCATCTGGCACTGTATGGATTTTTTTTTGTTAGAATCTTTTTTTTTTTTTCCTTTTTTCCTATTTTTATCACTCTCCTCTCTCCTACATAGTCTACAAAAAACCTCAAAAAAAAAAAAAAAAAAAAAAAAAAAAAAAAAAAACATCACAAATGAGATTGCTCTAAAGATTGACAAAACAACATGTTACTGTACTTTAACATTTTGAAGGACTTTAATATAATTTGAAGTTACTTTCTCCTTTTTATTATCTTCCCAACAGTTGAATAAGCTAATAATATATAACAACTTAAAATTACATAAAAATCTTTCAAAATTTTAAGGTTCTAAATTGATCCACTAATATTTAATAGTTCTATAATAAGGGGTTAAGTATTAACAACCACTTTGAAGATAATTGAAAAGAAAAATATGACATGACTATAACACAAAGTCAAAAGCATTATTTTTTTCTTTATTTAAAATATAACAAATATAAGGTACTATTAAAGTTAATTATCGTTAAGATAAATACGTGCAATCTTGAATGATATACAAAAAGGGGGAAAAAAAAAAGGAAAAAACATCAACAACAAAGAAGGAAAATATTTGCAGTGATTTTAGAAAAGCATTGGGGGGAGGAGATATGAATATGGTATAATGTGAATTGAATTATTGACTGTGTAGTGTCAAAGTTCTGTGCACTGCTGTTTTCGGGAAGGTACAAACCCACAACACAAACGCAGATCACAGAAGCTGTGTCTGCATGCATTAATATTATTATTTTTATATTATTATATTTTTTAATTCATTCTGTTACAATACGATATCGGGTTCATAATTACTATACCGCCTCGACTGAGGCTCGAAGGTTATATTATTTTTATTATTATTATTATATTTTTTAGTTGATTCTGCTACAATACAATATCTGTTCATAATTACTATACCGTCTCGACTGAGCCTCGAATCTATAACCTCTCATAGAGCAATTTGGTGCCACTAAACTACAAGGTCATTGACATTATTATTATTATTATTATTATTATTTGTGTGCATATCAAAATTGTCAAAATATGGAAACCGCAATTACTTCACCTATGCTTCTTCTCAAAAAAAAATAAAAAAAGAACTGCTGTTACTTCTACATCATGACTGAGGTAAAAGCAAGTCAATATTTTGGGGTTTGCTTTTTCACCTGCCTTTTCTAGCTACTTAACTTCCAGGTAGGAGTAGATATATATTAACAGTCAAGCAACAGATGTGATGAAACATCACTCCTAGAGAGAGCTTTATGAGTAATTTAAGGGGTTTAACATGCCAATAGCGTCTCATTTGGTGATTGGAAAAGACACTTTTTTAAAAAAATGAGAAGATAGTGAGGGTTATGTTGAGGCCGGTTTGCGGGTACAACTCATATACGGATTGTAAAGTGGAGAAGGTGTAATAGGCGTTAAGGGATAGAATTGAAAGCAAAGACGCGTGACTCAATGGGGAGAAACAATGTGGCATGAGGATGAGCCCTGACATGCAAGGATCAGATAGTCCCCATAGAAAGATGTGGTCGCAGTTTGAAAGACGATCCCATTGTCTTAAGGAAGAAGATAAAGCCCATCACTAAGTATAAATTACCAAATAAGTCGCCAAATAATCATAAAAAGAGATGGACCATAAAGGAAAATAGGTATTCTTATAAACTTATTAATTAGTAACTTGTAGACATGTTTTTTGGAAAAGAAGTTCTCCCTCATTGACTCATTGTTCTATCCTTCATAGTCCCTATTTTAAACATTTTCTAAACATTAGAGCTCAAGGGCAAAAATTCAATTAATTAATGTTTGAAAACTTTTTACCACTTTATGTATTAACTTTATCTTGTTGGAGTAAATGTTGCACTCTTGTCCGCAGTGACACATGTTCATAAAATGGAACCTCCAAAAATATGTAGGTGTAGGACTGCCCTAAAGTTTTGTCAATAAATGAGTGTATTTAATTCTTTGTACCATCTAAGGTAATTACTAGGGAGTACTTACAAACAGACGACTCTTGTCCTTTATTTGCTAGCTGGAGCACAACCCTACAATTTCACCTAAGGGCATCTCCAACCCAATTCACACCAAAACACCAAATTTCTTCTCCAAATGTCACATCAGAAAGAGTATTCTCACATCAAATTTTATTCAATCTCCAACCCATTAACACCAAAACACTAAATTTCTACACTAAAATAATTTAATTTCTCAATTATTACTTCAAATTTAATTAGTTTAATATAACTTAGTTCGAACTTAATTAGTTTAATATAAAATATAACTTGTGATGTAAATAATAATTTTTATTAACATTAAATTTTTTATAACATTAATTATTTAAAAAAAATTGAATTTATTGAAAATTGAATTTATTTCACAATAATAATATAGTATAAAATTTAATTTTTATTATTATGTTCTAGTTATGTTTAATGTATTTAAAATTTTAATTAATATATATTCAATATTAGTCTTGTTTCGATCGTCTCAATGAGATCTTTCAAATGATATAATTTATATTTAATAATACAAACTTTAAATATAAGTATTTAACAAAACAAAAAATTACATATAAAACAATTAAAGGATATATTTGGAATTATCAAAAAAAGCAAGGGCAAAATGGTAAGTTTCCCTCCTTTTTATATTTGGCGCAGATGAACAGTGCCGCGCCAGATATGGCGCAGCACTGTTCATTATCGCCAAAAAAAATGGCGAGATGGCGTAATGGCGCTGCACATTGGAGAACAAGAATTTGGCAAAATGGTGGGATGGCGCTTAAATTTGCAGCCGTTGGAGTTGCTCTAAAGACACAACTCTATGTTCTCCATGTAATGTATACTCATCTTCATTTTGTATTCAAAATTTCAAACTCTTTAAAATTTTACTCTCACTTAAATAGTATGTTTTAATTCATTTTGAAAAGGAAATGGACCATAATATTTTCATATTATTTATCTTATATTAATAAAAGTATGATATCTTACGAAAATTTTACTCATTTAAGTTCATATATCATTTTTCTATGTAGAATGGTAATACAAATACAATTATTGTAGTCACTAGCCATTATGGAGTTCCTTTTTAACTCGAGAGTATGAATACGTTATATGTGTTTTACACTATACGTGAAAATAGAAATAGAAAATCTGTATAATATTACTAAATTAAGGTACAAAGTACAATTGTACAAGTTAGACAATGTAATAAGATTCAAATACATTGTGATTGAGAGATCAAGCTAATGATGTGGGACAACTCTAGATTTGATATGTTTCGAAATATAAAATTGAAAAGTTATTTATATTAAATTCAAATTGCCTACAATATGACATCTCGCAAACATGTGAATATAACACTCTCAAATAACTATGACAATTTATATTCTTATATCACATTTATAAAAATTGATGATGAACTGACCTATAAATCCATCTGAAGAATAAGATAGCGTAATATTTTGGGAGTCAAAAATAAGGCAAGCACTAAGTAGGCAAAATCATCTGAAATTATCAGTGTTGCTTCTCCAAGTAAGTATATATATAATATATTATATATATATATATATATGTGCGTGTGTATATACTCTTATATGATACCAAGGGAGAGAGAAGTAGAAAGAAGCAGATCTCAATCCTTCCTTTAGATGCAGCGGCCTTTTTGGGTCTGGTGATCAATACATACAAACAGAGAGAGAGAGAGAGAGAGAGAGAGAGAGAGAGAGAGAGCAGGGACCAGAGAAAGAAAGCAAGAAATTGAGCCTCTGACTCTGAGCTGGGATTACTCTATCTTTAATCCCCTGTCGTTTGTCTCTACTGCCATTTATATTCCATCCTCTCATCTTTCATTTGATCCCATACTCTCATCCTCTTTATCATCATCTTCTTCTTCTTCTTCCAAACTCTTACCATTTTGTCTTCTCTGTCACCTTCCTCAGATCCATCCCTGCAATCCTCCTTTTCCTCTTGTATAATCATAAAGATCGTTCTTTTTTTGGTTTGTTTGTTGAGAAATGGGGACTGGTTGGAGAAGGGCTTTCTGCACTACTATCCCACGAGATAGAGAACCCAAATTCGTTGATAAACATCTTTATCAAGATCATGAACACACACAATCGAGCCCTAGTCCCAGTCCAAGAAGCTGTGCAAAACTGGGTTTTTTGAATAATAACAGTAAAAGTGGTAGCAGCAGCGCTTCTACTACGCCTCGTCTGCGTTGCAGAACCGCCGCGGCTTCGAATGAAAACAGTGATAATCTCGTCAGCCCAAGCCTCCATTGCAAAACCACCACCCCGAAATCTAATTCTTCCAAGACTCCCAGAACTCGCCTTGCTTCTAACCCTGCGTCGCCCAGATCCCCCTTTTCAATCCTCAAGAACACCCTCCGTCTTTCCAGGGTAATCTATGGTGTTTTGAATCTCTTGGTTTGTTTGATTGTTTTCTGGGTAAAAATCTCATTTTTTTTGTTTTCTGTTTCAGAATAGCTGCGGGGTTTGTATGCAGAGTGTGAAGACTGGGCAGGGGATGGCGATTTACACGGCGGAATGTTCCCACTCGTTCCATTTCCCCTGCATCGTTTCGCACTCCAGAAAACAGAGCTCTCTGGCCTGTCCGGTCTGCAATCACGCCTGGAAAGATGTCCCGCTGCTCTCCGTTCACAAGCTCCGGCAACAGGAAGAAACAACGAGTCTTGGGCATAAACACGAACAGGTGGTGGACGAGAAGAAGGTTATTGAAGAGACGGAAACCAAGCTCCGCCACCTGAACATCAAGCATGAATCGTCGTTGCACGTGAAACAATACGGGACGGATTCGAAAATGTATAATGATGATGAGCCGTTGCTGTCGCCGACGGCCGGCGCCGGGAAGTTCAGGGCGATTCCGGAGGTGAATGAAATGGAGGCGGACTGCGAGGAAGAAGAGGTGGAAGAGTTTCAAGGGTTTTTTGTGAATCCGATTTCGAGCGATAAAGCTTTTGCGAATCATAAGGAGAGTAGGAACGTGGAGGTGAGCTTGCTGCCGGAAGCCGCTATAGTGTCTATGGGGAGAACGCACGAGACGTACGCCGTCGTTTTGAAGGTGAAAGCGCCGCCTCCGCCGCCGCTGGGCCATAGTAGTAGCAGTTCCGGTCATTTCTCGGACCCGGCGCGGCGGGCGCCGATAGATTTGGTGACTGTGCTTGACGTCAGCGGGAGCATGAGCGGCGCGAAGCTGCAGATGTTGAAACGAGCCATGCGTTTGGTCATTTCCTCTCTCGGATCGGCTGATCGGCTCTCCATCGTGGCTTTCTCCGCCGCGCCGAAGAGATTGTTGCCTTTGAGGAGAATGACGGCTCAGGGACAGAAATCGGCGCGGCGGATCATCGACCGGCTCGCGTGCAGCCAGGGAACTTGCGTGGGCGAGGCTTTGAGGAAAGCCGCTAAGGTTCTTGAGGACCGGCGCGAGAGAAACCCGGTTGGAAGCATCATGCTGTTATCGGACGGTCAAGATGATAGAGTTCAACCCAACAGCGATCCTAACGGAAGGCGAGAAACCAGCCACGAGTCATCCACCCGGTTCTCCCATATAGAAATTCCGGTTCACTCATCCGGGTTCGGAAAAAAGGCCGGCTACAGCCACGCGCCGAATGAGGACGCGTTCTCAAAATGCGTAGGTGGATTATTAAGCGTGGTGGTACAAGATCTGAGAATTCAGCTCGATTTTGCTTCCGGCTCCGATCCGGCTGAGGTGGCAGCCGTGTATTCCTACAACGGGCGGCCGGCTGTTCTCAACCCCAGCTCAATCCGGCTGGGCGATCTATACGCCGAGGAGGAAAGGGAATTACTCGTGGAAGTTAGGGTTCCGTCAATGGCCGTTGGGTCCCACCACGTGTTGTCGTTTAGATGCTGTTACAAAGACCCCGCCACGCAGGAGTTAGTCAATGGGAGAGAGCATGCACTGTTGGTGCCAAGGCCACAAGCCGTTCGATCATCTTCACCCAGGATCGAAAGGCTGAGAAATCTTTTCATTACCACCCGAGCAATCGCGGAGTCCCGGCGATTAATTGAGCATAACGAGTTGACTAGCGCCATGCATCTGTTGTCATCGGCGCGGGCTCTGCTCATCCAATCCGGCTCGTGTTACGTGGACGAGTACGTGAGAGGATTGGAAGCGGAGTTAACGGAAGTGCAATTAAGGAAGCAATATCAACAGCAGATGGAGCAGCAGAAGGTAATCCAACGGCAGAGATCGTTCGAGAGAGAAACGGGCGTCTTCTTGGATGAAAACGGGGAGCCACTCACGCCAACCTCGGCTTGGAGAGCGGCTGAGAAACTGGCTAAGGTAGCCATGATGAAGAAGTCGATGAGTAGAGTCAGCGACTTACACGGATTTGAAAATGCTAGATTTTAATTTTAATATTTAAATTAGAATTTTACTGTATTTTATATTTGCCAAAAGAAAAAGGGAGAGTAATGTTCCATGGGCCACTTCATCTAATGGCGACAGTTCTTAAGGCGGCCAGCCCTTTTCTGCAGTGTGGCCCAATGGGCCAGGCCCACACATCATTGACTGATTGCAGGTCCATATCTTTGCCTTAGCTCCCAAGAGAGAGAGAGAGAGAGAGAGAGAGATTTGCTTTTGTATGGAACAACCTTATAAAATGAATTGAATGAAAATTATGTAAATTCAATTCTCCTGAAAGTGTTGTTAATCTGAGGTGCTTGTATTTATTGATAATAACAAGTTTTAGTTGTAAAAATCCCGCGAAAACAATAATAGGAGAGCTGTCTCTGAACGGGACCCAATCTAACCGAGAACGTGAATAACAATACAAAATATGATTAATCAATCGTCAGTGTCGAAGGAAGCCATCACTTTCACGATTCATTTATGTTTTTTGGGGGACAAAGGTTGAACCAAGCAGCATAATCTAGTACTGTACTTAGGATTAGATGGGATGTTTTGGAGGTGGGATTCACATCACAAATTTGAAGAGGTGAAAGATGAAGATGAAGACAGAAGAAAGAGTTTACTGTCAGCAGCGTGTGAATGTTTCTCCAAAGGGACAGCCACACAATCTTGAAACTACATGGAAAATTCAAACAGATGTTGTGTCATGGAACCCACCTTAATATGTTTGTCCAAAGCTTCACCACATAACTTTGGCTGGGTATTCATGTCAGAGAAGGATCAATGCCATCTTGGCCCTCCCACAACAATTTGGTGTGGTGGACAAAGAAACATAAATGAGAGAGAAAAAGGATGATGGTCCTTGCCACAGTCTCATTTGTCAGATGAAAGAACAGACTACAGAGCACTTAGGCATCTATGTTCATGTGATTAATTGGAATCACAGTGGTGGGTTTTACTGGTATTCAAAGCTTGTGCACCCACATTCATGGTATGTTTGGAATGGAGAAATCCATTACCGAAATAACAGATTCATCTCAGAAACTGCTGTTTCTGGCACAGTTAACAGTATACAGACGAGCCAATCAAATTAACTGATAAAACGCTGAACAGATAGTAGATAAGAGTATTGAATAATGATTAATGAAGTATTGCAGACTTACAGGAGTAGGAGCAGTATCAAGTGTTTGTGGACTACTCCAATGAATTGTTCCTAATGTGGATTGAGCTCAATTCATACTCTTTGCAATAATGAATCAGTGTAGCTATGTTCAATGACACTCGGGAAATGAGGAATTCTCCACCAAAACTATAGGAAAGATCTTCCTATGTTAATGTATCCGGTTAGATTTACAGCAGAATTGATCATTTGATTGAGAACTTTGCTGAGGAATTCTTCCTCTTATTTGAATTTTGGCCCTCAAAATTTATATTAATGTATCCCGGAAAAGGTTCTCACTTCTTTGTTTGTTCCACCTTAGCTCTAATCTTCTGTTCCAAAACTGAAATCTCGGTCTCAAGGTTGAACATCCTGTTTAGGGCATGCATGTTCTCAAGGGTCTCACTCAAAGTCCGGCTGTCGCTTCCATCACACCTCAAGTGCTGCATGGGACCATGAAGGAGCTTGTTTACTATACCCTTGCTGAGATCATCAACAGCTTTCCTCGTCTTCTTTGTAACATCGTCACCCATTTTTGACAAACATTTCTCAAGCTCAGCAACTCTTATTCTTTCAGCATAAGCCCTCAATTTCTTGATGGTGGGGACAGTTTCCAGCGAGTCCCTCCAAGCTTCAAACTGTTTTGATTCTTCACCAATGATTGCTTGAGCTTCCATTGCTTTTCGTAGCCTATCCTCCTTATTGGCCGCGACAACTTCCTTAAGATCATCTACATTGTACACTTTTGCAGTCTCGAGCTCATCCACGCAAGCACCCACGTTCCTAGGGACAGAGATATCAACAAAAAGCCTTAAACCTCCGACACCAGGGCCTACAGGGGGAAGGCCCATCACATGCTCTTTCCGAAACAAAAGGGTCTCTGATGCAGTGCTAGTAAATATTACATCTGCCTCGGCAGCACAGTTGAGCATTTCGGCAAAGGGTTTGTAGATTATCTCAACATCCTTCATCTCCTCCTGGATTGCAGCAACTCTATCCTCACTTCTGTTAACAACCACCATCTTAGTACAGCCCTTGGCAACCAAGTGCTTGATCACGAGCTTCCCCATCTTGCCTGCTCCAATCACCAACATCCTAGCACTGGCATGAGAAGACTCAGGAAGCTTCATTAGGGCCAACTCCACGGCAGCTGAACTTACAGAAACAGCCCCTGCTGCAATGTTTGTTTCAGTTCTAACTCTCTTTCCTACAGAGATTGCATGCTTGAACAGTCCACTGATGTTCCTTCCAAAGCCGGTCACACCTTGACCAACCTTGACCACTTGCTTGACCTGTGCAAGGATTTGACCTTCTCCCAACACCAAGGAGTCTAGCCCCGCTGATACCTCAAAGAGGTGCTGTGTAGCATCTTTGTTATACAACAAAAATAGGTGCTTGCAAATCTCTGAAACAGGGACTCCACTAGTCTGCCAAAGAAAAAATTTAATCATATTGAGATTGATACACGGAAGGACTAACTATGTGAGCAACCATGCAGGATTTTTCTTCCAAGCTTTTGTTAGACTCATAGCTAGAATGCATTACCTTTGACATCCATTCAGTCACTTCTTTAACACCACGATGTTGAGATAGAGCTAAAACATATATCTCCATCCTGTTACAAGTACTAAGAACTGCTGCTTCTTCAATATGATTCAAATTGCAGAGTTCCCCAATGGCTCTCGGCCACTCTGCTTCTGGAATGGCTAGTTTTTCACGCATTTCAACTGGTGCAGTGTGTACGCTAAGTCCAAGGACCACAATACTGCTCCTTTCCTTGGAATATCCTAAATGTCATTAAATGTAAACTTTAAGCATTACTGATCTCCATCTATTTACAAAAAATGAGGCAATTATGCAAGAGAAAAGGGGCAGAACCACTAAAATAAGGCTGCATGTGAGTGGCCCTTTGCTTTACTAAGAAGAAATTATGGTTTACAACTGTACTTTCATTAAAAAGGAAAAAAGAGGGCACAGTTTCAAAGAGTATTTAAACTTAAATTCTTGTATTTTACAAACAGAAAAATCACAGACTTAGTGCGAAACCCAATATATAACCCGGTAAACACCTTTCTTTCCTAAAATCAGAGTTATTAATACTGCAATATATCCTGATACAGTTGTTCTTCAATATACATATCCATCAGCATTGGATGTTGTACTGAGCTACCTAAGTTCATTAAGTCCATAGTACATAGGAACCTCATTATAACGCAATATATAAAGTCTCAGCTTGAGTAACATTGATCAAAGCAATCAAGGGGTTAACCAGTTAGAATGCATAGAAAAAATTTCATTCTGGGCAATGGGAAGTAAAATACATGAACATTCAACATCCTTTCTATTGTTGCTTTCATTGTCATCAAAACACTATAAGACTACTTTCAATTGACAAGTTCAGAATTAGCAGCAAGTGAAGGGTAATCTTCGAGAAATTAACAAAACATAATTAATTTTTTTGAAACTATATGGAAAAACAAAAAGGAAATTGAGTTACAAATTACAACAAAGAACATAAAAGCAGTAAGCAAACTCATGAGAAGCGGAACATACTGTCAGCAGCAGAAGTCTTGAGCTGTTCGAGAGCAGAGAGGCTGGAAGCGGAAGCCGCATTGTTCCGAGTCTGAACCACAACATCGGGCGGCGATCCCTCACACTTGATGGGAGAATTGAACCAAACCCTACGGTTTGAAGCAGCTCGAGTAGTTCGAGCTGGCTTGCAGAGCACTCCCGGCAGCGAAGGGGAGGCGGCGGCCGAGGCATTGCAGGGCCGCAAAGACTCGAGCTTGGCCCCAGCAAATGCGCTCGACATGGCCATATGAGGAGAGAGGGGATTCCCGATAGCCCAAACCCTAAATTCCGATTCTGGCCGGAGAATAGAAGTCAGCGGGTGGATTTGGGGAGTAGAAAGGGGGGCGTGTGGCGACCAACGGAGGCGTGTGAGGTTTGATTAGTCGATGGAAGATGGTGATAGAGATTTTCGCCTTTTTTAGATGAAATTGAGAATGGAGTTGGTGAGGCCGTGTGGGCAAGTATTGACCATTGGAGACTCACCCCAAAAAAAGATGGAGCATTGGGATTTCTCTTCATTTCTTATTGGCGGGTGATCCAACGTTTTACCCCACATTCCTGTTCCCAAAACGTCTCTTTCCTAGAACTATATAGGAAAAAGTGTCAAATGAATCAGTTATACACATTATACAATTAAATCATTTAACAAAAAAAAAAAAAAAGTATACCATTGAACTATTAAAAACTCAAATAAACTATCATTATTTTGTTAATTGTCATCTTTCTGATCTAATTCGATCTGGATGAAGGAGAGAACAACCATGATGGAGATGGCTGCCTCCTCCTTCGTCCAATCTAGATGAAGGAAGGTGCAGCCATGGCTGCTTTCATCAGACAAAGATGCTTGGGAATAAGGAATGTAGGAGTAAAACGTCAGATTGACGTTTGTTTTACTTAGTGTCGATGTACTAAGTAGGATATTATTAAGAATTTCAAAAACATGTTAAATAATCATAAATTCTTATAGTTATTGTATGCGATGGGCTGAATACAAATAATTTAGTATTCAACTCTCATTATGCAAAATCCAACTAATAGTCTAATTCTTTGAGATCATTTTCCTTGTTAGTTTATAAAATCAACTTACAAATTTGTAATTTATGTCCATGATTGGAGAAATTTACTTCCAGTATTTAATTCAAATTCTTAATTTATTTAACTGTATATGTTAACGGAAGGTCGAATTCGAAACTCGAAAGACTATAGTAATCGATTTGAAAGTTTAGGACTAAAGGTGGCGAAACCACCCACCTTAGTTGACATTTACTCTATAAATATATTAAAAACAGACTTGTTTATTACTATTGTGTTGGCCAACCATCAATTGCTTAGATTGTAAAACCATGCATGCCTGTCATTAATAGTTGGATATGCATCTTAACCTAACAAAAACAAAACAAACATGCACTTTAAGGAGCTTTAAACAACCTTTAGAATATAATTTAGAAACAAACTCTAACCAGATGTCCCTATAAACAAACTAAAGCCACAATAGGCACCAAGAATAAAATGGGTTAAATACATACATATATATATTTCAGATAAGAGCTAACTCAATCAAAATAAGATGAGAAGAAACACAAAACATAAGAATTATGGTGAGCACATGAATCATAACTAAGATAACTATGCATTTCACAGTAAGTTGGAGTACAGAGAAACAGCTTCTGCTGAAGAATATCAACTGTTGGGGTATGCATATAATAACACAATCAAAATTTGAAGATCGGTCTAGAGCCAAGGATGAATAGTACAGTTTGAAACAAAAATGTCTGAGTTAGTTTACTCCATAACAGTATAACCCAAAGCTTATAGAGATACCATCAGCATCCACAGCAGAAGAAAAAAAAAAAAAAAAAAGAATTTTCAGGATCCACTTGATGAAACTACATCATCTTTGTGCTTAATCATGCCAGAATCCACAAGAATTGGAATTTCTGCTGCAAGCCATGGCGCAAGACCCAAACAGAGCGCATGTGCTATACCAAATCTCGGGCTGACAAACAAAGTATCAATGGTCACAAGAACTATTATTATTGAAATAAAATCAAAAACTTGAGTAGCAGAAAAAGCTTCCAACATAATAGCTGGAGCATCTAAAGATAAAAGCTGCAGTAACATGGAGATCCAACTAGAAATCTTAGCTTCCTATTATTACACAAAAACAGTGAAAGAGCTCCAGGCAGAAATTTCAAGTTGAAATCACAACATAAGACACAAACATTTATAGGTTTGGTCACATTTCCAGACTACAACTTATTCCAATCAGCAAATATAAACAATCAAATCTGCATGCTCAGTTATTGTTCAAATACTTCCAAAAAGACAAAGCTGCTATTCACATCAAAAAGAAAAACCGCTTACCAATTCTTCGCCCACAGTGGCTTGAAATGCACCGTCAAGCATATCTTTCCTCCTCGATACATCTATAGATTCAAAAGAAACAATAGTAATCAAACTATTATTCAATAAAATCACTAAATTAGCAAAGTAAACTAAAAAAAACTCCGCAAAGTTGTTGAAAGCAAAAGGTAAGAAGAACCTTTTCAGTCTTGCCGTCGAGTTGAGGCAACTCGAGTTCGGGAGCGGTGGCGGGGTAGGTGACTGGGATATCGAATTGGAGGTCGAACTCGTACTTGAGGAGGTTGTGGATGTACCAGCACTTGCCGGTCCAGCGCGTGCCCTCCGGATTGGCGGCGGAGATACGGAACCAATCGTTATCCTTGGACTTGTTCATGGACGTGTAGGCTATCAATGCCTTGTACTCCTCCTTAAGTCGCTGCGTCCAGGCACCGCCGTCTCTCGGCCCGGCTTTCGTCGTCAACAGCGGGATCTGTGTCAGGGTTGATTTCGTATTCGGATCCCAACCCTCCATTCTCGATATCCAGACCCGAACTTCAAGTCAGGAGAATTATATCAAATTCGTCTTCCTCACTTGTAAACTGTGGCGTTAGTTTTACGAAGCCAAGGAAATGCCGATATATTTATATGATCATTTTACAGGAAATTCTATCCCGTGAACGTGGCATTTTTTTATATAAATAATTCTCCTTTACTTTTATTGCTCATCTGGACCATTTTATTAATAATTAGTCAATTCTAACTCTATATTCTTTATTTATTTTTGTAACATTTTTAAATTTATTATCATTTTAATGTAATTTTTAAATATATAAATTTTATATATTAATACTAAATTTACATTAACCGAATCAAAATCGATAAAATATATAATTTAACTATAAAAGTACTTTTCAAAATGAAAAGTTATATATATAATACTTTTTACTTAAAATGAATTATATATTTTTTGTGAAACATCTCACAAAGACTTTCAACTACAAATCCAAATGAATATTTTCTATCTCGTCTATCTGTATGGAACAATTAAACCCTATCCTTCTATAGTTCTATGTATATTACACCTTAGCCCGACACTCTGCACAACAGCACTACAAGAAGCATAAACTATGCTATAGCAGCAAACTAGGTTTCATCTGACTTGGAAGCCTAGCTGCGGAAACTGAGCCACCGTATCGACATCATGGCAGATGCTCATTCTCTTTTTCTGAAGGTCATGGCACCCAGTCTTTCCGAAGAAGTTGAGGAACAGGAAACTACATCACTCACCTAGGAAAAGCAATCAAACTCCACATAAAAATAGATTGCTCTCTGAAAAAAGAATATCTGGAAGGGAAAGTAACAAACAAAATGGCATTAATGGTTCTTGGTCTGGTGGCAAAACACCATGATATGCTCCAGCCTATGGATCTTCACCGCAAATAACTGCCATAAAAAAAGGACTGAAAATAAGCAAATCAGTTGTCTCTACACACTAGGTGCATAGGAAATTGAAACACAGAACAGAAACAACAATAGGTTGTAGCATTATACAAACATTAGTGGTAGAAATTACTCAAGTCTCTATGATGAGGGTACGATATTCTGCCCAAAATCAAACCTCAAGGAAAAGCACATGTCCTACTTAAGTCTTAAGATAACTGAATATGTAAAGCAACTAGTGTTCACCAGTACTCACCATGGCCCACTATATCCCCCCACCCACCCACACACAAAATTTACAGCACAGACCACCATTCTCAAATGGAAACATAATATGGATACTCTTACTCAAATTGAGGTTGTGCTACAATAATTGCTGGGAAGTTTATGTATTTAAATCTTGCTTAAGGTCTATTAGTATACAAGGTCAGGATGATAAGTTAAACCATTGTGTATAAAAACAAAAGGAGTCTAGACTTATAAGATTAGAATCAAGTCAGAAAGATATGGCAAACCTCATGACTCAAGAACTTGGCAATCCAGCCATCCTAGCATCGTTTCATATTCCATCATGTAGTTGGAAAACAACATCAAGGTTGTTCTGAATCTGCCAGCCTTTTGGGTAAACAAGTTCACGATCTTCCAAATGTAGGTGCCAGTTTAGTACTCTTGAACAACCATGAGGTATTCCTTCCATTTGGCTTTCATCTTCTACAAGTTGTTCAATGAAGGTTGTCTCCTGCAAATTCTCATCATGGATTACACAACCTTGCATCCATAGAGCAAAAATTCAGCAAAAACAACTAAAACAATGTGAGCTTGGAGTCATACCTGAAAACCTTCTTTCACAGTGTCCAGTTGACGAATCGGATCAGCAATGTGTCGATGCCATCTTTTTGGATCCCATAATATAGTGCTATTAAAGGCAAAACCAGACATATCGACATGAAATCTTCTAACTTGCTTACTCTTCTCATTTGTGTGCCATCCAATAACTCGACTTCCATTACACACAGGACCTTCCAATATTGCTTTGTTTTTGCTTTGTGCCAGCATAGCAACTGGCCAAGTGCCAAAACGACTAAAAGGAACATAAAGCAGATCAGAATAATAGACAGAGACAGAGAATTCTGCTGCAATATTATATATGAAGATCATAGACTTTAAATCAACAAGCTTACTGCATATCAAACAGAATAATTTACAGAAATGGAACAATTTTAAGTTTAATGCAGGCATGCAGCTATTAAACAAGTTTCTACTAGATTTAGGATAGAAAAAAAAAAGTGAGCAAAGCCTTTAATTTATTAAGGATCTGCTGTACACAACCTTGCCTCTGTTTTTAAAGAGGTCATCAGGCATTATCTAGGGGACAATATATTCCCTACTTCCACTTATCCATAAAACTAATTACAGAAACAGAGAAAATGCACTGAAGACAAGGCATATAAATCTGCAGTGTTTTTATTTTTTTTATTTTTTTTTATTTGTTGTATACATATCATCAACTTTACATACATCTGCATGAAATGCTTCACACCATTCAAGTCAGGTCTACACCCATTTCTCACAAAGAACTCAAGTAATATTTAAGCATATGAACTAAAAGAAAGCATGTAACTCAAGTAGGGCATAGCAAAGGTAAACAAAATATTGGTTTAAGAAGCATAAACACAAAGATATCATATCCAATTGATACAAGATTGTCATGTAGACTACACCAAGAGAAGACAACTAATACAAACAATAATGACAGTTGATCTCAATTTACCTGATATTTCTCATGCTCTCGAACAACTCAAGTGAATAGATATTGTCATCATCCGCAAAGTAAACAATCCCATCAAGCCTATGATGTTCAATGTGCTCCAGCGCAGTGTTCCTCTGATGCACACCCCGGTCCTTTATATCTTTTGTATTCTTGAGGCACACCAGATGTCTATACACGACCCCAGTGTTCCTCAAAATCTCTGCAGTCTCTGATGATACTGCATCCATCTCTACCACAATCCACAACAATGGAGGCTGCACATGCCTCAAAACCTGCCCCAATTTATTCAAATAATGAGCTTGTAGAACCCTGTTATATGTTGGAGTCACAATGATTAACTGCTTCCGTGGAATGATATCTTCCTCTGTTGAAATACTTTGTAGTTGTGCTGCACCAATAGCAGGATTATCTCTAGGGATCACTACATCCTTCACCTCCCTCTCATCATTCACTAAAGGAGGCTTCATTTCAATATAGAAATTGCGACGACTCCAATCTTCAACGTCGATAAACGGCGTCATACCTAGTATAAACCCTAGAAAGAAGAAAACTAAACACCTATAAAACGACGCCTTCCACGAAAGACATTTCCGCGAATATCTCAATCCGCCAAGTAATCTGCTGACTCCAAATCCAAATGCAGACAAAGGAGACGAGCTTCTGCCGTTAGACGGATGCTTGTGAGACGGCGATTCAACGGAGACGGAGAACTGATTCCCTCCATTCTGATGAAGACGCTCGTGGTAAGGCAACAGAGTCCTCCCCGATAGAGTTCTTCGGTTCGATGCCATTGTAACCAAAAATGCACAACCGCATAGAGCGATAATTGATTCAATCACAGCATTCAGACCAATAAATTTCAGCAATCAACCAAACCAATCATGAAAGTGCCAGAAATCTGAGTTAATACGTAGTCAAACTTTACCTGAACAGGTCATACCAATTCTCACTTCAACGTATCAAGCTCCAATCAGCTCTCTGCCGCTCTCTCTATTTACTATACACACACACATACATATACATGTATCTACGATCTGTGTACAATGAGCCTGAGCTCTTGAAGAAGAATCGAACCAATTTAGTCCTTGGAATTTAGAACGAGACGATTAATTATCTTGGATTTTTTCTTCAGCTTTTTAAATTTGGAAATGAGTAATGCGCGCAGGCGGCGCTAGACAAGACAAGCTGGATATGAGTTGGAGGTAGAGGGAGAATACTACATGTACTCCGACTCTCTACATTTAATTTTTATTTCTATACTAGTATTTTATATGCGCGATGCGCAAAAAATATATACTCAATATTAAAATTAAATATTAAAAATTTAGATATATTAATTTTTTTTTAAATAATAGTGTGTGTGTCTCTCTCTCTCTCTCTCTCTATATATATATATATATATATATATATATATATATAAAATTGTATAATTCATATTAATATTATTGAGGTAAGAATTATAGAAATGATAATTTACTAAATATAACTATGGTAATATTTTAATTAAAACCTAAATGAATTCAAACTTACCATTGAAGGATGTAAGAAAAAATATTGTGTATGCATGTACATGGTAATAATAATGTGGAAAGATAACAGAAGTTATAACGGCAGGGATATTTTTGTCTAAAAAATTATGTAGTACAGCTTTTATAGCACAAGGTACAAAAAAAATTAACGGAATACATGGACATAAACCAGGGGTATAACCTGGATTGAAGCTTATTATGTTTTTAGATACTTATTTTTGCAATTAAAATATTGATGTAAATATCTTTTACAGGAAAAAAAATTTAAATCAAATAAATTTAAGGAAGTAAAATTTAAAGTACATGTAATATTAGGTGTAACAAGTATATTTAGTTATATGTGGGAAGAACATATATTAGTTATAACTTATAACTGTTACAGACTAAACAGTTAAATACGAAATTTTGTATAATATACTACTCTGAATTTTTTTTTACTGTGAAATGATTTACAATTATATACTTTATTTTTTGTAGTAATTTAAAAGTATGCATTAATAGTTTTATATTTTATTTATAGAAAAATGACGATTTTAGTCCATTAATTATACTTATATTGTAAATTTAGTACATGAATACACAAATTTTTCTTTTTAATTATGTGTAGAGTGACAATTTTAATCAACCGTTAACAAATTATATTAATATTCATAATGTATTTCAAAATTTCAAATTATTGAGGGACATCTTAGTCTCTTTTTTTTTTATTATTATTTATATCAATTTGTATTAATTAATTAATTAATTAATCATTGAGTTTGATAAACACCATTTTTTTTGTCATTGGAGTGCAGCTAAAAATTAACATTGTGTCAAGCACCTTATACTCAGATGGCATGTAATGACCTCTTTCATGTGGGAGGTCATGAGATCGAGTTTCAGTTGAGGCGTTGTTGACTTTTTATGCTTCATTAGGTTGAGAAAGTATGTTTGAACATATACTACAATGTAATAGAGTCAGTATCATTCCCAAAATTTAAAAAAAAAAAAAAAAAAAAAAAAAAAAAAAAAAAAACCATTGCATCTCAAATTCTCAAATTTCCTCAACTAAATCTTCATATATACCGATTCTCTTAATTTGTAATGAAGACTTGCTACTTTGTAGGATTTATAAACATGTATCTACTCATCTTTAACTTCGAAGTTAATTAATGACAATTTATGGGTCATAAAATTAATTTATCTTCTTTCTAAATAATAAAGGTAATATTTATATGTTCGGTTTCATTTTTTTTTTGTTAGATGAAAGAGGAGGGGAGATACCCCATAAAGAGAAGCTAGACGGTTTCATATATTATATATATTAGTGTAATATATTATCAATATGTATTATTTGTAATGTTTTTGTTGCTTATATAGATTCTTGAAAAGTATTTAAGCAAAATGGATACTCAAATAACAGACATTGATTTGTGGATTATTATATGTATATTCATATAAGTTTTTCATATTATAAGTGTTTTATGTGAGCAAACTATTCCATAACATTTTTAATACCTGTCAATGATTTAATATGTTTTTTTTTTTTTTTATGTCTTGTTGTAAATGGAAATGAAAACCTAATTGTGGTAGAACCACTACTCTCTTTTCTTATTCTTCTTTAAAGGAAATGGAAATTGCATGTGAATTGAAAATGCTTATAGATTGAAAACTCACTCCAACTTATGGGCATGAAAACAATAATATACTTAAATTCGTAATATTCATTTCAACTAGTAATATTTAGTTAACTTAGAAACCAAAATAATTTTGAATTTTTAGCGTGGAAAATGACATGATGTGTTGGTAGATAAAGACTTGGAAGATGAAAATAGAAAAATGTTTGAAAAATAATTTTTCAAAAAACTTGTTTATTTTACCAAAAACCTTGTGGTCTGGTACAATGGTACTCAAACACATTATTTTTCATTGACTTTAATTTTGTCTAATTACTCGAAAAGTAATTTTCAAAATGAGGAAAATTTCAATTTTGGTCCTATAACTATTGGAGCTTTGTTAATTTCAGCACTTAACTTTCAAAAGTGTCAATTTAGTACCTTGAGTATGTAAATTTTGTCAATTTTGGTCACTCCGGCCAAGTTACTGACCAAATTGCACCGAAAAACGTTAATAGGTAAAATAATGCGGATATTTTAGTTATTTTACCATTTTTCCTTTCTTCTCGACCAGATATATGTATTAACAAGGTCGCGGTGAGGACAACATCTCTTTATTCTTCGACGAGTGGAATAGCATTGGCCGGCCGCACGGAGTCCGCCGAACACCTCCGTGATCCTTGGAGTGCGCCGGGGCTAATATCACCGACCTGCTGCCCACCTCGTACTTCTTCGGTTGCCTGGTCGACGAACTCGCGCTTTCCACGTTCGCCAACACCTCCATTGGCGGGAAGAAAATGCTAGAATGACTGCAGAACCTTCGATTTGGTCCTCCACGATGGTTCCCCCAACGTCGGTGGTGCCTGGTCTAAGGAGGCTACCAATCAAAATGCTTTGGTTATTGATTCCGTTAAGCTCACAAAAGTGGCGTTTAGATTTGTTTTGGTTTTAAAAGTGGCCTTGAGCCGTAATAATACTAATTCCCGGTAGTTGTACTCTTAGAATATATGTATTGCAAGTAATATGTATGAACATGATATGAACAAGAGAGAAAGAGCTCAAAGGGCATTTTATTCATGTTTTGTTCTTGTATTCTAGGGAGAATAGAGAGAATAATGTCTAGAGAGAGAGTAGAGAAAGTGGAAAATGAACCCAAAAGCCCCTTACTTCGAGGGCTTTAAGTCCTTTTATACACATGGTGGCGGGTTTGACCCGCCACCTATGACTTTGACCCGTGGACTGGGTCCCGAACCGCTTGACGCCGACTTGACTATAAACGAGCCCATAGACGTACAAGTGGTCGGTACCGGGGGATATATCCTATCAAGCCGCTTCGCGCCTTCGCCTGTACTTTCGAAGCCGGGAGAACTCTCTGGAAACAACTTAAATATGGTAGACTCGTCGGAGAAGAAGAAAAGATATGTGAAATGACTAAAATACCCTCATTATTTCAACTATTAAAATTTTTTGGCGAAATTTAACCGACAATTTAACTAAAGTGACTAAAATTGACAAAAATTACATACTCAAAATACTAAATTGACACTTTTAAAAATTAAATGCTAAAATTAACAAAGTCCTTATAATCATATGACCAAAATTAAAATTTTCTCTTTTCAAAATCATTTTTATAATTTTCACACACACAGAAAATAATAGAAAACCTATTACGGCTTTCCCTCGCAATCATCCCCCAATTATCAAACTGACCCCCAGGAACAACTTCACAGCCCCACTGCCTCCAAGCTTCTAAGTTGCCGTGGATAGCGTCCCCGCTTACCTTGAGATCATAGAGAAGTTCTACAACTGTCATATTTAGAGGTGTCAAATCTGACTCATTCCCATATGCTTGTATAAATGAATTTGTGCTTCTATATTTGTCTGCGGAATTAGCTTAATTTTTGGCGTTTCCCAATTGGTGAAGCTGAATGATTCTGTGAAAGTTTCCATTGAATTATTTTCATCTTTCGTCATTCAATAGTTCAAAGTTATTAATTAGTGACCTTTGAAATTGTTTATGGAGATTTTTAAATCCGAGGGTTGTATTGAGTAGCTAAATACAGCAATAAGCTGCAAAAATACTGGAGATTTTGAGTGCATTATCACGTACTAAGTACTTCATCCATTTGAGTTTTTAGTGAGATTTGGGGATAATTGTGCTGTGCATTTCAAACTCTAACTACATGGACTTCTATCACTGTTAAGAAATTTTAATCCATTCTTAGAAATAAGAAATATAATCTCCCAAATTATCAGGAGAAATGGATTCAATTGTTTCTGCACTTTGATTGCATGGGTATATAAATGATTTAGCAAGTATTTTTGCATTTTTGAGCAGCTGATAATTTGATTAGTCTTTCCATGAAAGTTTAATTAACCTACCGAACCAATTGCAATTTTCTATAAACAATGACTTTCTATAGTTTTTAGTGCTTCTTATTTCACTTATCAATTGTGGAGAATTATGATTGACTCCATTGATACATGACATATGATATAAATTGTTCGAAATTTTCAAGCACAGTTAAAATGTATTTTATGGATTTTGTATGAGTTGACCTGTTTGTTACATATCATTAAGAATATAACTTTGAATTGCTGAGATGGATTTCACTTGCTTCTTCTCCTTCTTCTTATTGTTTTTTTCATGTTAATATTACAAGCATTCTTTCAGTCTTTTGAATGTTCAGTTGGAAGCATTTTCTTAGCCTACATTTTCCATACAGATGAAGATAGCAGTAGAAGGGTGTATGCATGGAGACCTAGACAATGTGTATGCTACCTTATTACACTTACAGGATGTGGAGAAAATAAAGATTGATCTTTTGATATGCTGTGGTGACTTTCAGGTACTGTTTGGCTGATTCACTTGTCTCTTTAGGCATCTTTGGAATAGCATATTACTTGATTCTTTTTGCAGTGTTAAGCACAATGAATTCAAGTACAGAATGGCATTTTGTGTGAAGTTTAGTTCTAAATCCTGGCATCCTGCATATGCTTTGATGATTGGCTTTAATGGAACTTATGGTGTTTGTCTTTATTGGCATCATTTATAGTTTACACTTCACTTCTTAAATCAACCTAGGTCTACAATGTAAAAGGATAGGCAGAATTGTTGTAGGAGTAATGTATTGCAACCTAGTATAAGATGATAGTATAATAGGCTTGAGAACTGGTTAAATGCACACCTGAGTTCTTAATGCTTATTACTTTAGCTGAAGTGAAACTATAATAGTACTTAGTCTAGCATGCGTTTTTCCCTTTTTCCATGTTTATTTGGGGAGGGTTATGGGGAGGGTTGAGAAGGTTTTTCTTCTAAATTTTGTAAGTAGTGTTGAGTTTCTGTGATGTATTTATCAAACTAATTTTTGGTTATTTGAGATGAAAGTATAAGAAAAGGAATCATATTCTTTGTACAAGCAGGCTGTTAGGAATGAGAAGGATCTTGAAAGTTTAAATGTGCCACCCAAGTACAAGAGCATGAACTCTTTCTGGAAGTATTACTCAGGAGAAAAAGTTGCACCATTCCCAACTATTTTCATAGGGGGCAATCATGAAGCCTCAAATTATCTGTGGGAGCTGTGAGTTGACCTGTTTTTGCATTTCAAGTCTATTTTGTCTTTTATTTTTTCTTATGTTTGATTTTTATATTTCTTTTCTTATAATGTTGAAAGTAAAGAGCATGCATGTTTATCTATCACAAATAAATTTTCATTCCATTTTCTTCTCTTTATACTAAGGAAGAAAATGGGGTGGGGAAGGTCATTAACTTATGTTTTTGGTTTGAACAAACTGTTTTGCGTAAAAGTCACTTCACTAGAGTGATGTCATATATGTTATGCAACTTCTTTTAAATTTATAATTAGTGAATTGGTTTATTGACCTTCAACCAAGTTCATTGGCTACAGCCTACACATTCAATCTTGTAAATGTTTTTTAGTGGTGAATTAGTTAAGCTTGTGCTTGTGAAGACTGTTTAATGTAATCTCAGTGAATTGTATCCCCATATATGCATTACTAACTATTCAGCCACTCCATTGATTTTCATTGGCTTTATTCTTATCTTTCTAAACAATGAGTATACCTAAATATTGATATTCATGCTCATACATAAGTTGTTTGATATTAACATTGTTGAAAGTACTGGTTCCCATTGATGTTTTGCTTCTTCTATAGACTCTGCAGATTTTCTTGAAAATCCTCTTGTTGACGAAGTATTTCTTTTTTCGGTGCTTGTTATTGCATAAACCAAATATTCTTGCACTATTTTATAGTGCTTTCTTTTCTAGTCATCTATCTATCCCATGAAATATTATTCTGTGGTCACAGATATTATGGAGGATGGGCAGCACCTCAGATATACTTCCTTGGATTTGCTGGAGTAATCAAGTTTGGTAACATTCGTATTGGGGGCCTCTCTGGAATATATAAATCACACCACTATCATTCGGGTAAGCTGTGAACTGGGGAAACATTATATTGGCCAGCATTTTGGTTCGCTGGTTACTTTCACTTTAGAACCATGTGAAGATGAGTTTGAGGTATCAAAAGGTTTTTTTGTTTGTTTGTTTGTTTTCTTCTGCTTACTGGCTTTTGTTTGTAGTCAAAACAGTCGTTTTTTGAGAAGGAAAATAGTCATATTTGATGAAGAGATTTCCATGAGTTGTTACGTCCTGATAACTGCTTGATGTTTGAGGATGATAAATACAAAGAACTTTGTTATGACAGGACATTATGAAAAGGTTCCTTATAATGAGCTAGATATACGATCCATATATCATGTTCGTGAGTATGATATTCACAAGCTTATGCAAGTTGAAGAACCAATTGATATCTTCCTTTCACATGATTGGCCCGTGGGCATTACTGATCACGGAAACTTGAAGAGTCTTCTCCGTCAAAAACCTTTTTTCGAGCAAGAGGTGGGTAGAAAAAAAAGAGGTTTTGTGAAATCTAATCCATCCAATATTTTTATCTACTTGTAGATGGGGTTAAAATCCCACATGGCTTATCTAGGGGGCGGATTCAACTGGGGCTGACTTGTCTGAATGTCTGACCACATGGCTTGGCTGGGATGGGTTTTATAAATGTGGCATCGATGTTTCCCTCTCAGATGCTTTGGAGATGATTGCCTTTCAGTTTACTTTTTCCTTTATTCTTTTTTTATGGACTTCTTGTTCTCTACTTCCTTTACATAATTTATAAGTTCATGTTCTTTTCAGCAAGAAAATATAAAACCTATATACATGTCTATTCATTGACGTGTAATGTATACTTAACTTTTTCCATTTACTCCTATGATTCAAATTTGTATAATTCTCCTAACAAGCACATAAAAGATCCCTATTACCTGGCAATTTCTTGTTGTTCTTTGTTAAATTCTAAAGCATCTGTCTAGTTTTGTCCTACAGAGATTGAATATCTTAAAATATATGATTTTAGATTCAAGAAGGAACTCTGGGAAGTAAACCTGCTGCAGAATTATTGGAGAAGTTGAGGCCATCCTACTGGTTTTCTGCTCATCTACACTGCAAATTTGCTGCTTTGGTTCAACATGGTGAGGGCTCCGTCACCAAATTTCTTGCTCTTGATAAATGCCTCCCTGGTCGGAACTTTTTGCAAGTACTTCCTTCCACCATTGTTGTTCATTTAGATTTTCTCCAGGATTTCTGAAAGCTAGCATCTTGACTTATGAGTTATCTTGAGTGTCTTAGGTTATTGAAGTTGAGTCAGAGCCAGGACCATATGAACTCCAGTATGATGAAGAATGGCTAGCAATTATGAGGAAGTTTAACTCTATCTTACCTCTGACAATTAGGCATGCAGATTATAGGTGAGTACATTTATAGATGTTATTAGTTAATGGTTTTTGAAAGGAAATAGATGGTTATGCTTGATGTTTTGCAGCAATGTACAGCTTGACCTGCAAGAATGCCGTCATTTTGTAAGGAATAAACTTCAATCAAGAGGGGCCAAACCTTTTGATTTTGTGCGCACTGTGCCATGCCACGATCCTCGTCAACCTCTTGCTAATGGTGTCTTTTCTGGTGATGATCTGTATTGCAGCACATTATATTAGCACCTTATTTGTGTCATTAGATCCTGGTTGGAATTGGGTGGAATATTAATAATTATCCAGTTCAAAGATAAGAATGGGAAAGAAGGAGAATACTATAAGAAGTCATATTTTTTGTAGTCTTCCAATACACAACTTGATTTTTAAAAAAAAATTTTTAGCCTGTTTCGTCCTTGAATATTATCTCACTAACTAAACTCATAAAGTGAATTATATTTCTGATTACTTCAACAAATTATGAAATTAGAAAAGGTTTTCTGTGGTCCATTGTGTTTAGGCAATTGACGAATATCTTTAGGAAACAAATATGTGTGTGTGATGTGGTGGTGTGTGTAAAGAAATGTCTAAACTAACATGGAATTGCATTGTGTTAACTTCATTTATGGATGAAGGTGATTTCCTTTCCCCAACTCTCTTCAGAATGATGCTAAAATTTTTGCTAATTATTAGCTTATTGCTTGGAGTTCTATTTTGAGATTTATATATGCAACTGTATTCTAAGATCCTTACTTCAAGCTGATGCTAACCCTCTCTTATCTTCCTCCACAGGTCACTGCCGAAATCCCCAAACAGAAGCCTTATTACAGCTCCTTGAACTTGAATATCTTCTTGATAACATGTCAGAATCAAGGGAGTTTTCTGGAAGTCCAGCTTCATTTATTTCTAGTAATACTCTCTTATGGTTGATTCCAAATACTAGCAAATTCCATTTATTCCACTGCTGTTGCTCCTGTCAGTGTATATGGATTTCTATGCCTACTAAATTTGTTCCGCTCACTTTTGTGTTAATCCTGATACCTGTAAAAGCAATGGCTATTTAATGTTGGAGTTGTTGACACAAGAATATACATTGAACAATACTAGTTGCTGTATCTTCAGCCATGTGCATATTGTCAATATTACTTCAATATGGTTATAGTACTTCTTAATTGGGTCATATGAATGACATTGGTGCGATAGGGCCTTAAGTTTTTTTTTTTTTTTTTTTTTTTTTTTGGGGGGTGGGGGTTGGGGGATGGGGTGGTTTGTCATGATATGGTTCATTTCTACAGCAGCTATGGAAGTTTTGGCTCCTTGTAGCCAAGTTCTTATCTATCTTTCCAGGAGTTGACCCTCTTAACTTGTTTGATTCATTTTGCAGGTTCGTTTGGCTATGGTACTGAAGATATCCCCATTGATGATGTGGATGATATTGATGAACCAAAAGAGGCTGATGCCAGTGAAACTGAAAATGAACAAATATAGAACTTGTTTATTGGTAATCCAGCTGCAATGGAAGTTCAACCAGAAGAATGTATTGTTTGTAATATGATTGTAGTACTTAGATTGGTTACTAGTCTAAAATTCAGGAACTCACCTGTCACATTGATTGAATACCTATTGCAGCAGCAATAGTAGGTAGAATGCAAAGGCTGAGTATGCTCTGTAAAGAGGAGTATCGTAGCAGTATAATCAGAACCACCATTACAATTTATTCAATAGACACAGATTCATGTTTCTTTATTAATTTTGTTTCCATTGATGTTGATTGCTAAAATTACTTAATTTTTGGGTCATGAGGCTCAATGGTCCTTTGCTGTAGTTGCAGATACCACACACCAAGTATACGCATGGATGTTACTTTCTTGGAAGCATATGCCAAGGTTTGCAGAGATATTTTTACTGTAGAGATGAATGATGAAATCTCAATGTTGAAATATGCTGAGGTAAAAGACACTTCTAATTTTCAATTGTCATTGAGTATGAACATCTTACCATCTCTGTCTTTTGACTGTTGTTTTTGCTATTATATATAATCACCATTATCATCCATTGGCTGCCCAATTTGTTATTTTGGTTGTGGGGGTTGACTTTTTTAAAACCTCCACCAAGAAAAGCAGTGTTTTCATGAAGTTTAGTATCTTTTTCTTTTATATTTCAGTGGTGTTCATGGCCTATTTGACTCCTTTTCTGCCCCCCCCTTCTCTCTCTTTCTCTATCTTTGTCTTCACCTCCTGATTGTTAATTTCCAATTAGGAATACACAAATCAGGTTGAAATTGAAAAGCTTCCAATAGTCAAACCACAAAATACAAAATAGGAATGGAGTCTAAACACTTGCCTCATATTAAAAATGTCAAACCACTAAGTGTCCTTTTAGGGTGTTGGTATCATTTGATTGCTTCATCTTTTCACTTCCAGGCAAAGCTACGTATATTTAAGTCTGAGTTAGCAGCCCCTTTTGAGCTAATCAATCCTCCACTCTCGCATAAAAAAATCCTTTGAAATCCTTGTTCCAATAAACAAAAGATGTTGTTTCCTCTGTAAGTTCTCAGCTTTCACTTGTGAATTGTAGTGGCAAAAGCTGTGGCTTTCAACTTCAATCAGTTCTTATCCAACTGCCTTTGCAAATTGACCGGCCTATTGTGAAATCCATAAAGAAAATGGAGAAAATTTATTGGGAGTGAGTGAGAAAACACATTGTGGGGCAGGGTTTGGGTTTTCATTTTTTATTGCGGGTCGGTTCCTGATTAAAAGAAACAATTGGGAGGGACAGTGGTTAGGGTTTCAGATAGAGACAAAGAACCACATACAGCAATTTGTCATACTGTTTATAGGCTAAAATTACCATGCCTTTTTCTTGCCCTACAAATGACTAGAACTGCTCCCTTTTAGTGCTGCCCAAGTCCCACTTACTGACACTTTAGGTGTAAGATAAGAGAAAAGAGGAAGATACCTTCATGGTCCACTTTGGACTGCAACGTATAACTTCTAAGGCCCCCTCTCTCTTTGTTTGAAAGAGCTACAATTTAATCTAGGCGTGACCTAGGACGGTCCAGCAGCTTGTGTGTCTCCTACAGGGCTAGGCCGGTTTGTAGTTCATTGTTCCATTTCTTTTGAACGCTAAAAGACAAGAACCCTAGCTAGAAATAAAATTCTGTGTTTGAATTATGGTCCTAGTCCTGGCTCCAGGGATATGAGAAAGCTGTGTAGTTGGTGGATATATGTTGTACCATTTGGTTTTAATTTCCTTTTCTGCCAATTGCCAATTCTTGTCATGCAGCACAGTGATAATGCGTGTGGTAGTACGTTAGTACCACTGATACGGTGGAAAATTCGACATGACTGTTACTCAACGTCGTCCACACGGTCGAGGTATTGTTATGAGTAAGCTGATAGAGATGACATTGTTGCTTGCAATTATGCAGGTTTTGTTGAAATGATATTCTTGTATGTAGCTAGAAAAAGAGGAGGGTTCATCCTCGATTACAGACAGCATGACATTTTTGCAGCGATAAAGCCATGCCCAGGTGCGAAGTATTCAATTCAATCACTGCATTATATTGGCAGTAGGTTTAGGTCAATAATCTTATCATGTAGGTTAGCTCAATAATTTCAACAATGCACTACAGTACACATCTCTCCCGGCCCTCTTTTTTCCATTCCTTAATAAAATAATTTGTGTTTGTAGGCTTTCTCCGTGGACGAGGCTGGCTTTCGGCAACAAGAGTTGAGAGTTCTACGACATTTTTTCCTTCTTTTTGGCAGGAGAGGATTGTCCCAACACTTGTTATGGTAAAGTACTACTACCTGTCCCCATCAACTTTCATTCATCACTTCTATGCACTGCTCTGCTTTCTGCATTTATTCTACTGTACTATATCATCTCGTGTTGCATTCATTTCCAGTATTTTTTTAAATTTTTTTATTGGCAATTTGGCACCCCCCCCCCCCCCCACCCTTGGTATGAGAAGGATAATGCAATGTGATTGCTTGGTCTTTTTTTTTTTTTTTTTTTTTTTTTTTTTTTTTGAGTGATAGAGGAAACCTGCAGTCACTATCTGAGAGTGTGTACTGGTAAATCTTATCCGACAAAGGACCACAAGAAGGTAAACCAATTTAGGTTGTTTATAGCTGACCGGTTCAAACCAAGAAGACTAGGTCATTCCTAATGGGGGTCGAATTTATATTCTTGTGATTATGAAGTAAAGAGTCTGATCAACTTGGCTGATGTTGTCCCATGCTTGTTTGTAGTCTTGTTAACGTGAGAATGTCTCCAACATTACTTCCGTTACAAAATAATTCAACCAAGTCACATATCAGGTAGGGCACGTCAATATCAATAATGTAATTCGTCTCACTAAGCACTTTTTCGTGTTACTTAATAGTTAAATAAACATACAATATACAACATATTTTTGGGGATAAATTATAAATATACAGTGACATAAGATATTGTAAAAAATTTAAAAAGCAAATGTAAAGGGAGCTTGAAACGAAAATGGCAATAAGAACAAGTGATTAGTGCGATTTTGGATATGTGTCTTCCACAAGTGTCTTAATTAATATAATATGTATTTGTTGCATGAGTTGTGGTATTAAAGATTCCCCATCAATCCTTCTCTCCCCTTTTTATGTTATTTTTTTGTTATTGTTAATTTCATGGCTAGCTCTTAGCCCAACAATTTTTATTCAATTCACACCAATGGGGACTGGCGGTGGCCTTTTCTTTAATTTCCAATCCTTCTTTTATTTTTATTATTTGTTTGGTGATAAGGAAACTTACCCGTCTCTATCTGAGTAAATTTTTCTCATGTGTAATAACTTACAAACATTACAGAAAAAGTAAATTGTACTAAGAAGACTATGCTTGATGAGTTTGGCCGAAAAAATATTAATAAGAATCAAATCGTAATCTTCTAATGTAGTAATCATGTTCTACTCAATCATTCAAGATCCAACCAATTTTTCATTAGTCGTATTTCCACGTGTCACCTAGGATGCTGCCATTGGTGCATAAGATTACCATGTGTAACAAAGCTAGTCAGTATTTGGAGATGCTTAACACGTGGAGCGTACATTTTTGTAGCACTAATTGTAGAGGAATAGAAAATCCAGATACTCTGCTGTGGTGATACGTGGCGTGAAACTATTGGAGTTCGAGATCAAAATTACAGCAAGGCAACTTCGGTTCTTGATAGATACATCCCATAATGAATCAGTTTTGGAGCTGAGATTGCTTTTTCTTGGAGTAGCCCACAATCTTTATACGTGCACCTAGTGTGTCGATTTTTGATTTATTGCGATGATTTTGAATCATGTTACATATTTATCTTAGATTATCTTTTAATTTACTTTTAAAAAAAAACACATAAATTTCGAAAACGACACTCAGTCATACAATGTATTCTAAAAGTAAGCGTTTGACATCCCTAAGAGGGGTTTTGCAATCTCAACGCTAGATTTGTTACAATCTCAATTTTATTACTACTACTACTATATTGGTGAAACAATAATACATAAATAATTAAGAGATTATACCAACTAGGGTTCACTTGACTATTGCGATTTCTCTGTACAAGTCTCATAATTATTTTTTTGCTCGATTTAGTCCCTTAACTATGAAAACGTTACCTAAAGTCTAATTAATTAGATTAATTGTTTATTTTAATTATGAAATTTGTACAGAGAAATTGTAATAGTCAAGAGACCCCAGCTGCTAGTATAATCTCAAAAATTAATAGATAAGTAACACTCATATATAAAGACTTTTACTTTTTAAGGTCGTTTCCATAAATCCAATATTCAATCTAAATATGACGTTAAGAAATAAATGTTGATGATTAATCATATACAAATTGATTTAAAAGTTAAATATGTTGAAGTGACAGTAAAACAGTGAAGTCACAACTATTTCATTTAAATTGTTAATACTGAGTTTATCCATATAGTCATGATAAGGGAGAGAGGAATTCTATGCCATCACAACTCCACGGTTAAAGTTTTCTTTAATTAAGATAATAGAGTTGCCAATTGAGACACTAGTATACAAGTATTTGAAGGATGATTAAAAAAAATAGTAAAAATGACAGTTTAAATGGTTATTTTGTTATACAAATATCAATGGAGTATACTTTCAATTTGAGCCGGGTCAAGGAAGATTCGAGTTTTCCTAAGTGAGACAAAAAAGTTGATATTTTGTACGTTCAAAATGAATAATATGTGAATGATAAATTGAGTCTCAAAGTAAATCTTTGCGTCATTGGGAGGGGAGAACCCCGAGAGAGCTTACTGGTTCCTCACCAAGAAAGACACTCAGCATCTATAGGCTTATACTCATGCACAACGGCAAAAATACAAGACATTTCTTTATGTATAAATAGTAATAGTAGTCTTACATATTCTAGGTATGCAATTCATCACACCGAAAGTAGCAAAACTCTTTTTAAATATTTCTTAAGCCTTCATCACGTACTGTCTAAGAAATTAAATAATACAATTTCTATTCTCACTATTTCAATCTGTTTCATATATAACCTCTTAATTATCATGGTTATTGGATTTTCGCGTCAAACCTAACTTAACACACAATTTTAAGTACCCCTAGTTTAGGATTCAATTCAACTAAGTCTAATTCAATATGACATATGAAGTATATGGTATTTATTAAAGAGTGACAAGTCGACCGTGAGCGATTGAAATATATATAGTGCAAGTGATGCAAAGAGGGATAGATGTGAAGTGCGGGCGGGCGGCGAATTGAATGAGATAATGGTGGGTGAAATCTGAGCAACGAAAGTCCTTGCTGTACCACATATTCCAGACAACAAGTAATTTATTGTTATGGGACTAATACTATGTTGTCTTCATAATGAAACTTTGCTTTCATCTCTCATTATTCATATTCAGATAAGGTCCCTCCCGCCTCCCTTAGCTTCCTCCCACTGCACTGCTCTGCTCTGCTTCAACCACTACCTTACCTATCAACTCACCAGACCAACATTCCACACACATATATATATGTCCATAATCAGTTGAGAATCATGTCCCAGGCAGTTAACAAATCCAAACTATTGATCAAGTAGATTTAACGGTTGAAAATAAACAAATTTTGTAATATTTATGAAAATAACCACATTCATTTTTTACTTGATTTCACATCTATCAGATTCGCTGACCTGACATGGCGAACAGACATGTTCCCAATGTCTCTAACAATCTTAAAGCATTATCATTTCAATGTTGACCTAATTATACCTAATTAGTTATTCCACTATGCATTTTCATAGCTTAATCAATTAATTCATCATGTGTCCTCAACCCAATAATGTGGCATACACTAATTAAACATGTCTGGTCTAGAGTGTTGTTTGACCATGTACCAAAACGGAATAAAAATAATGATTAAAAATAACCCCAAAAAAAAACCTGATTAGTTATTCCGCTAAACAATATTCCCATAGCTTAATTAACAATTCACTTGTCCTCAACCCAATTTGGCATATACTCATTAAACATATATATCTAGTCTAGCCTCTAGAGTGTTGTTTGACCGGCCACATAGTCAACAAATTAAAAATAACGGACTTTTTTTTTTAGAAAATACGAAAAGGACTTAATTAGTTATATATTTGACTAAACATTATCATAGCTTTATTAACTAATTCATGTGTCCTAGATCCAATATTATGGCATGTACTATTATGTATTGTACGCACTTAAGATAATTAATTCACTAAACATTAGCATTGCTTAATTAACTCATTCATAATTTGGAGTTGTTTTATTATGTACTATACAAACTTAAAATAACAAAACTTTTTTTAAAAAAATACAAAAAAGACCTAATTAGTTATTCCACTAAACATTATCATAGCTTAATCAATTAATTCATATATCCTCAACCCAATGTGAAATGTACTACTTAAACATATCTAGTAGAGTGTTGTTTGACCACAAAGTGGACAAATTAAAAATAATGGATCTTTCTATAGGTTTATTGAAGTTGGTATATATACATACACGAAAAAAAAAAGCCCCACTAAACATTATCATAGCTTAATAAACTAAGCTAATTCATCTGTCCTTCATCCAATGTGGCATGTATTATATTATTATGTACTCTAACTAATTCACTAAACATTATCATAGCTTAATTAACTAATTCATGGTCTAGAGTTGTTTTATTATGTACTATACGGACATAAAATAACGATTTTTTTTTTCTAAATACAAAAAAGATCGACCTAATTAGTTATTCCACCAAACATTATCATAACTTAATCACTTAATTCATGTATCCTCAACCCAATGTGGCATGTACTACTTAAACATATCTAGTTTAGAATGTTTCTTTACACAATACTTTATGAACTAAAAATAACGAATCCTTCCAAAAAAAAAATGTAAAAGAGACATAATTAATTACTCCACTAAATATTATCATAGATTATCTAATTAATTCATGTGTACTCAACCCAATGTGACATATATACTAATTAAACGTATCTAATCTAAAGTAAAATTTTACTATGTACAGGCAACGAACTAAAAATAATGAATTTTTGTCAAAAAGAAAATCGAAAAGACTTAATTATACCTAATAGTTATTCCGCTAAACATTATCATAGTTTAATCAATCAATTCATGTATCGTCAACACAATTCAATGGGACAATAGAAACATGAATTAAAAAATGTTCAGGGTGATGAAAGATGTTGATTAAATCTCTTGTACGTGCATGCACACATGAAAACTAGGGTATGATTAGTGAATTGAATGTGTTCCTATGAGCTTAGAATTAATCTGGCGAAACTGTGATTACCTAAACTGAAAAAAAAAAAAAGTTTTTAAAAATACGAAAAAGATTAAGATTACGATTTGATTTAGCGTACGAAGTGGGAGTGGTGGGTGGGTGGGTGGGTGGGGGGTGTGTGGAGCAGTGGAGCTGCAAATGCAGAGGCACAGTGCTAAAATTTGTCACGAGAGAAGGAGACAGGCAATAATAGCTGGATTTTGTATGTTCAGTTACAACCCCTGGCCCCTCCAACACTTCCCCCTCTCTGTTTTCTATAATGTATATATGGATTTAACTTGCATCAATATAATGATGCACCCTTCACACTTCACACTATTGGGTCGCTAATAAGTATATATGCGGATTGGATGAGTGTCAACATGATAATTGATAACAAACTAAATTATGCTATTCACATGCTTTATTAGTAGCAATAAGGTGAAAGGTTTGAATTTTATTGTTCGTTTTACAAGTTTTAAGTGGTAACTAACGACTTAGTTAACATCACGGTTTGTATGATAGGAAAATATTTAAAGTGTAGAGAATAATGCAATAAGAATGTAGTTTATAGAAAATTCGGATCCATTTTACACACCTGTAAAGGGATATTTATACAAAAAGACTTGTGTTTGAGAGGGAAACTAACTCCGCCTTAGGTTTTTTGCTCTGCTAGGGAGGAAACATTCTACTCTGGGAATAGGTAAGTAGAATTACATTAGGTGACGAATTTTCACGGACATTAGAACTACTGGTTGCTGACTTGCTGATTCCCGTCCCTAAAAGGCCATCCACGTTGTACTACAACTGAGGGCTAGCCGTCCGAGCCGATCGGCTAAGCCTAGTGTTCCATCCATAATCTATCAAGGACCAAAAAAAATATGTATGGATTTGACCTTATTGTGAATAGTAGCATACAAACATTTGGGGAATGTATGTCTCAATCTACCTCTTCTACCTAAGTGACTTTTAAGTTTGGAGTTCAAACTTGTAAAAAAAGGATGATGTGTTGTCCTCACGGGTAACCTAATTGGATCTCCGTAGTAGATTGTACTAATACTAAAAAATATATGACCAAATCTTGACAGTTTGTGGAGTCATGGGGCTGAAAGATTTTGCCTTTTTTGCACGAGGTTGCGTTGGAAAGCAGCATATATATGTAGGAATTGAAGAACAAAATATGCAAATTAAAGCCGAAAAAGAAGACTAAAAAATGCTATTAAAAAATGGAAAGAATGGGCGGTTTGAGGAGATGGTGCAGCGCATTATGCCAATTTTTTCCATTTATGGCAATCAAAGTCACCGGCCTGAAATGGAATACGGCAAGCAACAGAGATCACACACCCCTCCTCTCACAACCATACTTTAAAATAAATTAAACCAAAACCCTACCTCTCCCGATGCAACTTGACTCAACTGTAATGATAGAAAATTTCAAGTTGCGATAAATGACTATTAGCTGATTGAGTTAGTGAGTTTGACTAGTTGATAATATTAGCTGATTGTAAAAAAATGTTTGGTAAATTAACTGTTAGATTATAAGCTGATTTTAAAAACTACTTTGTGCAGCTTAAATTTTAGCATTTTGGAGCAATAAATTGTTACCTAATTAATCAAACATTCATATTGATTGTTTAACCAATGCAAACAGTTAATAGTGATCAAATAAGCCAAAATTGACCGATAGACTAACTATCGTTAATCATTTTGTTTTGCCAGCAACTCTACTATGCCGCAAAGTTCGATTGGCCATAAGAGCTCTCGAGATTAGGTATAATCCTTTATAATTGTCGAGAATCAAGCACACAAATAAAAAATAATATTCTATAACTTTGCTAGATAGAATAACAATGTTACTAATAAATTAAAAAGGTGAGAATCACACAAATTAAAGTTACTAGAAAAAATGTCCCATCAAAAACACATATTATTAATACTTTATTTATTATTATTGTACAAAAGGTATATATATATAGAGCTAGCATGTGGAAGATGAGTGAGGCTACAGTAAAAACTAATTAGGTAAGGTAGGGTAAGAATGAGGGATACGATGACGTGATAATGATGGAGTGGTAAAAATCCAAAAGTAGTAGTAGTCCGTATAGTATATGTGTTTGGAAAATTCACATCAACCCATCATCATGCATATATCTGGTGGCTACCTTAGGGTGGGGAAAATTTGATCTGATCTGATATGATATGATATGATGGAGGTAAATATATATAAAAATAAAAATCTAATGGTTAATTTACAATAATAATCAGAGGATCCGTTTCAAGAGTATCATCTTTACTGCATAAGATGTCTTCAAGATTTGGTTTGAGTGAAGGAGGTGGCGATAATGGCGGCAATGGCGGCGACGACGGGGAAGAAGATTTTGTGAGTTCTTTGGCTCTGTTTGCTTGGAGACTCCAGTCGGTTCTGCAAAGCACCACGAGCATGAGGACGGCGCAGGTGGCCTGAGCGGCAAGCAAGCCTAACCAGAGGCCGGCGAACCCCATTTTCAGTGCGAATCCGAGGAGGACGGAGACCGGCATTCCGACGAGGTAGAATGATCCGAGGTTTATGTTGGCGCCGATTGTGGGCCGCGCGCTGCCTCTCAGGACCCCGCACCCGGTGGTTTGCGGGCAGTTTCCGAGCTCGCACACCCCTGCTATGGGCAATGCGATGGCCGTGAGTTTAAGAATCTCTTCGTCGGCGGTGAAGAACCTCCCCCATTTGTGCCGCATCAGGGTGGCGAAGAGCATCGCCGCCACCCCCAGCCCGGCCGCGCAGAAGAGAGAAACGATCATGGAAATCCGCGCCCGGGCCGGCCGCCCGGCGCCGAGCTCGTTCCCCACTCTAGTCGACACTCCCAGGCTTAAAGAAGACGGGAATACATAAACAAGAGAAGTAGTTTGAATCAAAATCCCCATTGAAGCAATGGTAGCTTTCGGATTCCCCAGAATTCCACACAACAGTATCATAAACTCGTACCACCACCATTCCAAACAAACCGAAATGCAGGTGGGAATGGCTAAAGCCAACAAGGAAGACCAGCCACGTAGGCAGTCGGAGCTGGGGGCCACCCAAGAATCCTTATACACGCCGGAAAAGTAGACGAAGGAGCAGAGGAGGAGGAAGAGGTTGAGATTCGTGAACACCATGGCTATAGCCACCCCGGCGACTCCCAGGTGGAAGTAGCTAACCAGAACGAAGTTGAGAGGGACGTGGAGGAGAAGGGAGATGGCGGAGCAGTAGGTCAACGGCAGCGTAATGCCTTGCGTTCTGAGATATATCCTGAGAGGATGGAGCAAAGAGAGGAAGAAAAGGTCGGGGATGGCGAAGACGATGAAAGTATGCGCCATTGACGCGATTTCCTCGTCCTGCCCGCACCATAACAGGATGTTCTTCATGTTCAGCCACGCGAAGGAGATGGGGACGGAGGTGGAAAGGAGGAGGAGCACCGTTCTCTGTAAAGTAAGCCCCAGAAGCTTCATCTGTTTGCCGCCGTAAGCCTGGCCGCAAATGGGCTCCATCCCCATGGCCAGCCCGGCGATGACAGAGTATCCGGTGATGTTAGCGAAGCCGATAGCGAGGGACCCTCCGGCCAGCTCGAGTTCTCCGAGGTATCCCAGGAAAAGCATGGAGATCATAGCTCTGGAATACATTAACAGCCCTGTCATGGCTGTCGGCCCTGAAATCTTCCCTATCGCTTTTATCTCCTCCATAGCCTGAATGTTACGTTCAACGACATGCAACAAACCATCAGCAAATGAAATACTTTAATTTATATGCATTTTTAGTGTTTTCTTTAAAAGATATATATATTATTACCTCTCTAGGGGTTGGCCATCTATGAAGCTGTTCTTGATCATCATCAACAACAAGGTGGGGAGCCATGGAAGACTTATGGGAGCAGAAGAAATGGGTTTGGTTAGTAGAGACAAGTAAGGATGGGGAAGAGGACTTAGAGTTGCACATAGCTAGCTACCTATTATTATTATCTATCCAAAATATCTCTCTATCTTCTTCTTCTTCACAAGATATTAGCTAGGGTTGTTTGGGGTTATATTGTAAATGGTGGGACTGAGGGTTGAGCAAAGAGAGGGATGTGTTATGCATATATATACATGCAAGGACCGGAGCCCTTATGCCTTAATTCCGGGCTAAAAGACGTGTCATTGTTTTAGGGCGCAAAGAAGCCATTGTATTACAAAGTGGGTACTAGTTCTTGGGATGGAGGTGTGGGGGCCAATCCTCCATTCCTCCAATTTTTTTTTTTTATTTGAAAAAAAAAAATAAAAATGATCGGGATAAAAAAAAAAAATAAAAAATCAGGTGGCTGTGTCGAAGTTAAATTTATATTAAGACTTTGGGTATGTAAATGTGAATAAAGTTTTGGTTGTTTGTTGTTGATGGAATTGACTAGTGTGTATAGAATGGACGTGTGGATTTCACCTTATGAAAAAGGGTGAAGGAGAGGGCCCCATTTTGGGAGGGCTAAGCTCATCTTATCTAAGCCCGCAGTAGTGAAGGGAAGAGTTTGCAGAAGATGAGTTTGGCAATATTTTTTTATTGAAAAATGGAAAAAAAGGAATAGTGGTCGGCAATTTGTCTTTCACCGCCCAGCACCAGCAGGTTGCAATCCGAGAAGCTTGGTTTTAGTGAGGAAATGGTAATGGCAAAACCCCATTGGCATATTAAGTTTAATGAGTTAGGAGGATTATGCTGTTTTAGTTAAATCAAACTTTTTTTAAATTTTTTTTGGTGGTTGTTGCTGAATGTGAGAGAAGGATAATCTTTTTAAAAAAACGCAGGGGGCACTTTATAGGTTTCAATTTCTCTCCCTTCTTTTAATATTCGGGCCTCGGAACAGGAAAGGAAGTGATGAGGCCAATGGAATAACAAGATTATCTTTGTATGTTGCAAGTGGGAGGGAATGAAAATGGATTGACATGCAATACACCATACAATACAAATTCTTTTTTTTTTTGGGGGGGAGAGGGTGAAGCAAGTGGTGGTATGATATGACGGCCAAATGAACATGTTTTGTTCTTCTTGTTGTTCAATTTATTTATTATACATATTGGGCAAGAGTAGAAATGAAACCACATCGTCGTCGAGGTCAATAATAGGGGGGCATATATGATGATATGGGGTTGTGGTTTATATGTGTTTGGTAGATGGGCAGTGGGTTTGGAAATGTTGGCATGTTCGAAGGCAAAACATGCATACGGATGATGTTGTTGTAACATTGCCCTCTTAACTCGCAACCCATGTGATGCCTCACAGTCCGGAGCATGACTTGTGTTGTCTGCAACCGATACCCAACAGCCAAGACACCGTTTGGGGTTTTGGATACTTGCCCTTTTTGAGGGTTACATGTTCCATCATTTTTTGTATATCCTGTTTGAGGTCCCGTCTCGACTTTTGGCACCTTCTCTCTCTCTTTCACTCACTCTTTTAAGTCTTACCCCTCCCCCACAATCGACATATACACCATCCCACAACTCTACAAATCACAATACATCAAACTCAGCACGCAGGATTCAATTCCCACTTTATTTTTTTTTTACAACCTGGTTTGTTTATGCCGTGTGTTTTTTAGGTGATTAAGGAAGGTTTCTTATGAATCTCGAATTCTTATTTTTGTGTGAAAGATGGAGAGTGATTGATGGCAAAAGGGTCGTAGGTGACCCGGGAAAGGAACGTGTGAACTAACAAGAGGTGGGGTTTTAGGTTTATGGAGTGGCCTAAACTGTGGAATACAAGACAGATTATATCACTAGAGTGGATTCATTTCAAATTACCGAGTGGTTAGCTTTAAAGCTTATCCAAATTTGTAGTGGTACGTGAGAGAGAGAGAAGGGGAATGGTACCATGGTAGTTCATCATCATCATCACCACCACCATCATCCATTATCATCATGCAAAACTGCAGAGGGACCACCAAGGTTAATGGAGGGTGACAGTAGCAGTAGATGGCTGTATGGAGAACCGGCAGACGGGAGAAAGGAAACACACTGAAAATTAAATTAAAAAATATATATATATATATAACTGTAAAAACAAACAAACCCATCCTTTATTTTATTTTTAATTTTTAATTTCTTCCCCATACGTGCTGCATTTCCAACCATTTGAATTTTGTATCCATTTTTCAGAACAAGGGATGAGAACGTCTCCAAGTGGGGGGCCTTTTGCTCTCCTCTCTGTGTGTTTGTGTGTGTGCCTGCAAACGCCAAGGGAAAAAGAACAGAACAGAACAGAGCAAAGCAGAAGCAGAAAACAGAATCAGAAACAGATGCGGTGACAGTAGACATCATCTCCTCAAACAACAAAAGCACTGAATTTTCTGCTTTTAAATAAAATATATTCTAACATCTTTGGCTGAAACAAACTTCAAGAAAATCATAACCCGAATTCCAAAACAGGTTTGGGGGGCCATGAATTTTACCTCATCGTTCAGCACATTTTAATAATCATAACACCTGTCAAAAATCATTGTTTACAAAGGAATGCAATAACACTAGTATCTCTCAGTAAAATACATAGAGGTAACAAACAGTACTACTAGAAGATACGGTTTTATTTATTTTTTGTGTGATTTCTGAATTGTAATCAAAAGAACTGGAAAGTGGGGTTGGCAAAGGGTAGATACCAATACCATCAGATTGCAGCAATAATAAAAAGGAAAAATGTTATTTTCCCCTCTAAATTTTTCCCGTAACATTTCCACAAATGATGTAGCTTATAATTATTGGGTGTCCATGAATTAAGTGACCACACCATTAGTTAAAAAGATAGTTAGTTGTTCAATTAACAAAATTCCATGTAAGGAGAGAAACATTTAGGAGGGGTGGGTAGCATTACTCTAATAAAAATTGACAAAAAAGTCCAAGGATCACGAGCGGATCTGATTCACTTGTACAGTCATATCAGACTCAGATTGATTTGCAAGTTTATTCTTCTACAGAATTTGCCAGCAAGGACTAAGCATCATTATATGCCAAGTTTAGCACATACAACAACTTTTAAAACAGAGAAAGAATTCTTAGTTAATGTAATGTCTGCAAAACAGAGAACTTCCACAAAAAATGATAAGACATTTTCCCAAAAAGGTAATAGTTGTGTATTAATAAGAACCGATTCATTGGTTCTAATTCTTTCCTTTTTACAATAAGGAAAGGGTGGCAGCTAACCAGTCTCATTTTCAGTATAGCCTTTCCCCTTTCCATAAGGAATATCTACAAAATATTAAAAAATTTCCCATCCCAGAGGCCTTTTCCCAATCTTCTACGTCTCCCATCTTAAATAGACATAGCCTAGCCAAGGATGCCATTAACACATTAAAGACCTACTAAAGCATTTTACTCTGTCATTTCAGGCTTTCAGCCATGCTTATTTAAAATTTCTGGTGATGATTAAATGAAACATTGCCAGCAGATTTTCATTATTAAAATGGTGAACCAACTACAGACCAGCTTTTTCTAGATAGTATAAATGCAATAACCATGCATCAGAATTTATTCCCAAGTGCAGATGAAAGCAAGAAAAAGAGAATATTAATAAAGGGGTCCTCCATCAAAAAATAGCCCAGCTTCCCCAATACAAAATTCTAAATAGCGAGGACAAATCTTAATCAAGGTTTCCATCAGCACAACTCACAAGAATCACTGGCCATAAACACATTCTATAAGGTATTAAGGTCATTCACCAATTTCATGCATAAAATAGGTGAGATTCCAGGACATTTTTGTGTGTCCCTTAATAGCCAATCAAACAAATAGTATGCAAAAACCTGATTTTTTAAAATTTATTTCTTAGCAATATATCCAAGCAGCAATATGCAACATATTTTAATTGGTAATGTACTCTCGAGAATGATCCTGGAATCCATTATTGAAGCTTCTTTTGCTTTCCAGATTATTAGCCACAGAAAATTTATCTGCACAATTAGCTAAGAAAATAATTCATAATTCCATATAATCACAGTAGTGTACTAAAAATGATTCACTTATACTGCATAATGACATGGCACTATAATGAACACCCCCACATTACAAATGATGAATTTCTGATGATCGCGAATATATATAATTTAAGTCATCTGACAAAACTGTATTAAGATAGGAAGTGATTAATAGGAATACAAATAGCATTTCAGTTAATAACTTCACTACTCCGTAATATATTTCCTTGTGATCATTGTTCTCCTAGACATTACTTGGCTAAAGGATTTTAGTCCCAAAAAAAAAAAAAAAAAAACTACTATGAATTATAATATAGGGAACATTTGTAGAAAACCAGAGTTTTCCTCATAAGTTGGAAGCAACTGAGATCATGTTTAATAAATGATGTGATAGATACATGTATGGAATCTTTGTCCAAGCCAATGTTAGCAGTAAATTGAAGTAAATAATACCATGCCCCATATGGCCATATAAATGTTCTGACAGATGGATGTCTTTGTGCTGGAGAGATCAGGACCTTTCAGTAGCTAAAGAAACAAGCATTTGCATATGCATGAGATTACTTTTACTTAACTTCTCTTTTTCCATTGGCTATCCTTATAATCACCATGATCACTAGTTTTGTATCTCACGAAATTTGCCATTTATAAGTGTTATCATATATGTAGATAGTTTTAATTTAACCTTTCTAAATCATAGAAGACCATAAACAAAGACAGAGTGTTGAGGAAAAAAACAGAGAATGGATATTATGCAATGGGCAAGCATTTAGCCACTATACAAGCCAATATTCTAATGTAATGCAAATATGCAATGAATGCACATATTAAATGTTCATCAGCATGCAAAACTGAATAAATACACATTTCATTCAGATTTCTGATTACTATTCTTCTCTTTCAAACACATTTGGTTAAATGGAAAAGATTCAGATGATACTTGATGACCCAAAAGTTGTTGAACCCCCCAAAATCAGTGATTAAGTGTGTATAGTTAATGCTAGTTTATGACCCTTGTACTGCTTTCTTGAAATAAGAAGGAAGAAGCCAAGATAGTGACAGGAAATCAATAAATACACAGCTACAAGTAAAATTATACCTGTGGGATCACAATTACCATATTTAATACATGCATTGAGAGTCCTGCATGTTAGAAAAGCAGTTGATCCACTAGTACTCATTTGCCAATACTGCAGAATTTAAAGAAACATAATCCAACCACCCCTTTGAAAAGCCCAAAAGCCTCAACCCCTGAAGCCATTACATATGGAAAATTATAAGTGATCTGCAAGCAGTTGTTTGAAATAATACTTCTTCAAACCACCAGAAAAAAAGTACACGATGAATAGAAGCATTACTGAGTCTACAAGGTTTTTGAAATTATTAGCAAAGAAAAAACATATACGTAGATTTCACATATAAGAGCTTTTTGCCTCCCAAGCAATAATTTTATAATGCATAAAATAAATTGGATTGCTAGAAGAACACTAAGAGCAACATGACTCATAGTCAATCTACAAGGAAATATGATGTCAGATGCACACACATGGATGCTACAAATCAGGCACATACAGTTGATTTAAGGGAAAGCCATTATACATATCCACAAAATCTGATAGAAGAACGTAGTAGTAGTACAGCCAGTGGAACTCCTAGAATAGCAAATGGAACTCCTAGAGCAACAACAATCCCGATCACCGTTACAATTCATGTTATTCCTGATGGCGCTGATTAAGAACATTACTACAGGACAATATTAGACAGTAGCCAATGTTAAACCAGGCCACCATTTCCAATACAACTTCTCCGTGAGCATTTCAATTTTCTGAGTGATTTCCACTATAGTAATTCACCAAGTGGCACTAAGTAAACTGTCAAAAACCCCTGTGCAAATTATCTAGTTTCATAAACATATTTTTACCTATCTCCAATAATCAATATAATCCAAAGTACACACTACAAGAGTGCACGTGTTCAACTCCAAAAACATGATAGTTTTGTCTCTATAACTTAATCCAGATGAGAAGTACAAATCAGTGAATTGCATGAAATAGCACCGAAGCAAGTAGCAGCAAACAGAAAAAGAAGCAGAGTACCAGCTTGTGGCAGCAGACTTATGTACAAGGGGTATATTCGTCTACAACACAATGAAGCGTCCCAATAGGCTAATAGTACAATCCTACGGAGTATTAAAAAAAAGCACAGTACAACAAGGAAAAGTAAAGTTAAATTCGATCTTCCATTTTCAAACGAGGAATATATACGGACGGAGACTAAGCGACTCTGCGTTCGTAATATAGAAAAAAGTATAAACGCGTACTCGTGAGATCAGCGAGAAGCCGATAATAGCTTTACGAGCTGCGATGAAGGTGGCGATCGCCGATCACAGACAACGTCGGCGGAGAAACCGATGATACGGCAGCGGAGAAGCCTCCGCCAGGGATAAAACAGCGGCGCCGGCTCTTCCCGCCGGATTAGACACGATCAAGTAATTAAGTATAGACGGCGATCCATTCAAATTCGAATTGTTTGGCGAATCAAACCGGGCCCCAATTTGGAAATATAAAAGATTAGATAATGGTGTTAGCACCTTTTGGTGGCGCTGTAAATGTTGTTAGCTCTTTATATTTGGGTACGGCCAAAGCCCACTTGCAGTTGCATCCCTATGTCACCATATACGGTTACTCTACGAAGTATATTACGTCACGCGTATAAAACTACCGGACCTTCCCTTCTCTCACAAAAACACTCAATCCAGAGTGTTCCTTTGTGCTGCGGTTACCGACTTTTTTATAAATTAAAAGTGTCAAACTCAATCAAGTTAATTAGATAATTAGTCTCGGACTTTAAAAAAAATAAAAAATAATTAGTCTAGTAAAATTGTGTATATGCATATCTCATGATTTGGGTGTTTGACAAATAATTATTAGCTGATAGCTAATTAGTATACTAGTTAGGCAATTAATTCGTTAAATAGTAAGTACAACATAATAATTTAATATGCATAAAACAAGTGTCACAGTTTTTAATGTGATAATCTCATGAGCTATTATTAAAGTGTGTGTGTATATAACTATACACACACACACATACGGGCCGAACTAGTCCATGGGCCAAAATTAAAATTCGGCCATGTCGTAGTATAAAACGGGCTAACCCTAGTCCGCACATTGTAGCAAATGGACTAGACCAGGCCTGCCCAAATAGGTTGGGACTGGATTGGACTTCGAGCTAACTCGTCCATTTGACACCTCTATTGTCGTACTTGCCCCGCCAGAGAGGTCATGTTCATTGATTAGGAGCGTTCGATTGGCTACACGGTCAATAGATCGATCAACTCGAAGAAGTCGAACAGGATGACGAAATAGAGTAGCGAGTATGAATTAAATGTAGTTGGCTCTTGACTTTTCCTCCCAATAATGAAGGCTTAAATGACGGTAGTTACCTCAATAAATTTATATGTAATAAGTAGTACTTCGTAACATTTATGAGCTCATTCACGGGCATATTAAATGTATAAATACCACCAGATTGGATCATAGTAATTGACATAGGGTTCGATTTTTGACAAACCTAAAGCAACAAAGCACTTTCGTTTTATCAAAATCTTGCATTTGTTATATTTCCCTACTTGATAAACTTTTTGAGTGGTAGTGTTGGTCCGTCATCGATTATTCATGGTCGTAAAACAAACGCGTACCATTGAGTAACATATACGAATTCTTATGTAAATTAAAGAGTGTACCAGCTTCAATTGGATCATGTTATACAAATTAAATTTCACATAATAATAACATACGGATTAATATTTTTCTAAAAACTAAATTCAACAGCATATCAGCATATGGAGTTTCCAACTGGTAGCCGACTTAGCTTCTTTCATCAGTTGATGGACTGATAAATGCTCAGCTGCAAAAATCCTTCAATTTTAATAAAAAATTGAAACCCGAAAAAAAAAAAAAAATCCGAATACTAATAAGACTACTTAGTTCATAGGTTTTGCATCCCGTGTTTTGTTCGCGTTGACATCAATAATATAAAATTGGGAAATTATTATTATATACATTAACGTATATATACATTCAGCCGCCGCCACCGCCCATGGGTTGCCACTTGCCGCTATATTTACATGCTTACCACTGAAGAAACTCCGGCGCCTTCAGTATCATCTTCCTGATCAGCTCCCAATTGATATAATATGCACGTGCATGGAAAAGCAAAGAATCGAAAACGTTTGTTTATCCCGCCGCCTAAAGGAATATAATATATTCATTTTTTTGAGTGAGGGAATTGAAACCGCAGCGCAGCATCCCTTTAAGCTACCTGCTCTGTTTATAGTATATATAAGTATATGTGGATGAGAGCGCGAGCTAGCTTGAAAGTCATCGATCAGAAACAATGTCTTCTTCTTCCATTGTTGGAGAAGACTTCACTGCGTTCTACCACGGCTGGCTGATGAATCAGGACGCCATCTTTGAGCAGCTTGAGTCCTTCTTGGCGGCGGCGGCGGCGGCGGATGATGATCGTGAACAATGCGGTGGGTTGGTGGGTCGGGTTTTAGCCCATTACCAGGAATACTACGCGGAGAAGACGAAAGCGGCGGAAGAGGATGTTTTCGTGTTTTTCGCGTCGCCGTGGATGAGCCGGCTGGAGCAGTCGTTCCTCTGGCTCTCCGGCTTCAAGCCGTCAATGCTGTTCTGGGTGGTGGAGAGCTCAATGGAAGGGGCGTTGTCGGAGGAGCAGCGGTGCAAGGTGGGAATGCTGAGGGCGGAGACGGCGAGGGTGGAGAACGCGATTTCTAAGGCCATGGCGTCGGCTCAGGAGACGGTGGCGGCTCCGCCGATTTTGGGGCTGTTGAAGAGAGCGGAGGAGCTGGTTGACGGCGAGGTGTCGGAGCTCGACGCCGTCATGGGAGATTTGAAGCAGTCAATGGGGAGACTGATGGGAAACGCCGACGCGCTTCGCGGCTCCACTGCGTCCAAAATTCTGGAGATTTTGAACCCCAAACAGGCTGTCAAGTTCCTGACGGCGGTGATGAGGTTTCAACGCGAGGCCAGAAGGTGGGGTTTGTACAATGATTCTCAGCGTGAGGCCACGTCAACATTAACGAATAATTTATTTTGAAATGTTACATTATTATGATGTAACGGAATAATCTATGGAAATCGAAGAGTCGATGAAATTGTCGTTTTTGACTCATACAGTCTTAACTATTTTGGTTTATATAATAAAAAAAAACTATTTTTTATTTTAAATATTTGGTTATACGATTACCTATTTTTGTCGTCGTTGTGTCCGCGTCCACCCAAACAACTTCTCCATGTATCAGTGATCAGTCTACTGATTAATTATTTGCTAATAATAATTTAATTACAGGATCAGAATTTTAAGTACATGTACAATTTATTATTATATGGAGTAATAATATGTGTTTCAACCCCAAACTCCTGAAGTGGTGGCTGAATAGATAAACATGATTCTTGTACTTCCTTTATTGCATAGTATATTTTTTAGTGCAATTTACTTATTATATGTAGTCTCAATGTATACTTTCAGATAGTGATTATGAGTATGAGAGATTAATGGACACTCAAACAATAACTGGTATAAGAATCATACTTTATTCACTCGATCACTATTTTCAGAACATAAATTTACAAGGTCAATATCGATTCAATATTTTAGTTTATGGAGCTTAAGGAATAAAGCTTAGTTATGTTATGTTTATTAAGAACCCAAAGCGTGCAACTTCGTGACTGGCCCAGCCCATCATATGAAGCAATATTCAACTCCACAAGACCAAAGTCTAGTAATCCACTTAATTGAATAGTCTATAGTCTATACAACTCCACAGACCAAAGTCCACTAGTCCACTATAATGTGTATGTACCACACTTCAAAAAATTATGGTGAAATTTTGGTGTTACACCACACAAAAAGTCTGTAATTTTTCATATAAAATTTGCTACGTCTCTATGTATTTCCTAAGTCATATTTATATTTTATTTCAGGATTCTTGTTGGATTACCCGTAGTAAAACTAAAAATATCAATTTAAGCATTATTAATTTGAGTCGGTCTATGAACAATCTAAGTTGATTTACCTCTTTATAATATTTTGTCGACCAAGGCTTAATAACTACGTGCATACCAGCAACCTGCTGCTACGTATTGGGATCTTCTTCCACCTGTCATTATTTCAGCTTATTTCTAATGAAGAACCACATATTTTTCAAAAAAAAAAAAAAAAAAAAAAAAAAAAAAAAGAAGAAAAAAACTACGTGCATGTCCAATTGAATTTCTGGTAAGAAAATCTATTACTCTATTATGCTCCCATTTAACTCATTTAAATCGTTTGTTTGAATTTTCTAGTTTTATACCATAAATCGACAAACAACTTGCATAATATTTATACTCTGTATGATGTTGTGTAATTTTTTTTTTTTCTTTTCCCTATGGATAACTAATATTATCCATGGTTTATTATATACTTGTCAAGTTGTCATGCATTTTGCTAAAGAATCATTCCTCTGATTAAGTCACACACTCTATTCAATGTATCATTACTGCATATTTATTATAATTAATAATAAATTTTGTCCTTTTAAAAAAATAAAAGTTGTCACGGCTATATTATTATTATTATTATTAGTATGTGAATTGTAACAAAGGAAGTCACATTAGAAAAATCATATGTGACAAGTTCGATTGAAAATGTGTTGACAAAATTAAATTTATTTAATTTTAATACAATAGTCATACTTCACTCACTATTTAGAGCTAGTTTCACCATATGAATCCACACAAACTTATAAGGACGTTAAAAAAAAAAAAAAAAAAAAAAAAAAAAAAAAAAAAAAAAAAACTTATACTCCAAATTTGTGTGGCATGTTTTATTTGCTTACTAAGTAAGTAGCCCGACGACACCTTATCATTGACGAAAATTATTTAAGAGAAAAAAAAAAAAAAAAAAAACAGATAAGGGTTTGGGTTTTTATATAATGATTTGATGTCAGATAATCCAAGAAAATCCACGTAGCTGGTTCAAAGGGTCAAAGTCGGCGGTTTTGTTTGAAGCTTCCGTGAACAAACTTGGTTTTCTCTTCTAGTCTTCTCAACCACCGGCCGACAGCAGCCATGGGATTTCTTCACATGAAAATTACTGAGGAAAGTGAAAGGAAATGGGAGTATGATCTGCACCGTTCTCAATTTGGGTTTCTTCTAGCCCGTCTTTTCCACACTCCGAAGACCAAGTTTTCTCTACTCGTCAAACTAAACCGTCAGAGATGGCGGCGGGTGAACTTTTCCGGCCAAATCTTTCTCTCCTATCTTTCTTTACCTTATTCTTCTTCGTTGCCAGCTCCGACGAGCTCCAATCGCTTCTAACGTTAAAGGCCTCCTTCCAGAACGCCGGAAACAGCGTGTTCGATAACTGGAATTCTAGTACCCCGCTCTGTACTTTCGCCGGAATTACCTGCAACTCCGATGGTTCAGTCAGAGAGATCGAGCTTTCCGGCCAAGGCCTGTTCGGGTCTATTCCATTTGATTCAATTTGCTCTCTGGGCTCTTTGGAGAAGCTGGCTCTCGGGCACAACTCACTTTCCGGCCGGCTCTCCGACGAACTGAATAAATGCGTTGGTCTAAAGTATTTGGATCTCGGGAACAATTTTTTCTCCGGGTCGATTCCCGACATGTCGGCGCTCAGTGAGTTGACACATCTGTACATGAATCGCAGCGGATTTTCCGGGAAATTTCCGTGGAATTCGCTTGAAAATGTTACGAAGCTGGAGGTTCTTAGCATCGGGGATAATCCGTTCGAGAAGACTCTGTTCCCGGAAGTGATTACGAAGCTTACTCGTTTCAATTGGCTGTATCTATCGAATTGCAGTCTGGAAGGGAAGATTCCAGAAGGGATTGGAAACCTCACGGAGCTGATCGATTTGGAGCTGTCTATGAACTATCTTTCTGGCGAAATTCCCGCCGGAATTTCGAACCTTCGGAAACTATGGCAGCTCGAACTTTACAGCAACGAGCTCACCGGGAAGCTACCTGCTGGGTTTGGGAACCTGACGAACCTGGAATTTCTAGATGCTTCCACGAATGATCTCTACGGTGATCTCACCGAGATCAGGCACTTGACCCAACTGGTAAGTCTGCAACTTCTTGAAAATCATTTTTCCGGCGAGGTACCGGCGGAGTTGGGGGAGTTCAAGAAACTGGTGAACTTGTCTCTCTACACCAACAGCCTCTCTGGCCAGCTCCCTTCAAAGCTGGGCTCGTGGGCAGAGTTTGATTTCATCGACGTCTCGGAAAATTTATTCACCGGACCAATTCCGGCGGAGATGTGCAAGCAGGGGAAGATGAGAGATCTCTTGATACTCCAGAACAACTTCACCGGGGAAATTCCTGATAACTATGTGAACTGCACAACCCTTAGGCGTTTCCGGGTAAGCAAGAATTCCCTTTCCGGCACCGTTCCGTCTGGAATTTGGGCACTGCCAAACGCAGATATCATTGATATTTCAAATAATGGATTTGAAGGTTCCATTACTTCTGATATCGGAAGAGCAAAGTCGTTGAGTCAGTTGCTTCTTCAAAACAACAAATTGTCAGGCGATTTGCCGCCGGAAATTTCAGGGGCTTCTTCTTTAGTTTCAATTGATTTGAGCAACAATAAGTTCTCCGGCGAAATCCCAGCAACAATCGGAGAACTGAATCATCTCGACAGCCTTCATTTACAGAACAACAACTTCATTGGATCAATTCCAGAGGCATTGGGCTCCTGTGTTGAACTTAGCGACATAACCATAGCTAAAAACTCTCTCACCGGTCCAATTCCGGCAACGCTCGGATTTCTCCCGACTCTAACATCATTAAACTTGTCCGATAATCACCTCTCAGGGCAAATTCCGGGGAGTTTATCTTCTCTAAAGCTCAACCTCCTTGATCTTTCAAACAACCAGTTGTCAGGTCCCATCCCAGATTCTCTTTCCATTGCAGCTTATAATGGCAGCTTCGCCGGAAATCATGATCTTTGCAGTAAGAACATCAACAACTTCCGGCGGTGTTCAAAGGAGTTCGATAAGTCCAACGTTTTTCACACAATTCTGCTCTGCTTGATGGCTGCTTGCATCACGATCCTCGTTTCACTGGGATGTTTCATATACTTGAAGAAGAAGAATAGTAACCCGAGTGATGATCATGAACTGTCTTTAAAGAAAGCTTATTGGAACATTAAGTCTTTCCATATATTAAGCTTCGGAGAAGATGAAATTCTCGACGCTATCAAAACAGACAATTTGATCGGCAAAGGAGGCTCCGGGAACGTATACAGAGTCGTGGTCGGTAACGGCACGGAATTGGCGGTGAAACATATATGGAACTCCGACGTTAATGGTCGGAGGAACCCGGCGACAACCACCCCCATTCTCCGGAAACGTGCGGCGAAATCGAAAGAGTTCGACGCGGAAGTCCAAACATTGAGCTCAATACGGCATGTTAACGTTGTTAAACTGTATTGCAGCATTACCAGCGAGGATTCAAGTCTGTTGGTCTATGAATACTTGCCCAATGGAAGCTTATGGGATCGACTGCACACCTGCAAGAAAATGGCGTTGGATTGGGAGACGAGGTATGATATCGCCGTCGGAGCCGCCAAGGGGTTGGAGTATCTCCACCACGGCTGTGACCGCCCGGTGATTCACCGGGATATCAAGTCGAGTAACATTTTATTAGACGAGTTCTTGAAATCAAGAATCGCAGATTTTGGCCTTGCAAAGCTAGTTCAGCCTGATGCCATTCACGATTCAACTCATGTCATTGCTGGAACTCATGGATACATTGCTCCAGGTAAACGTCGAATCCAACTAATTAGTTAGTCTTGTACATTTTTTCTAATATTTTTGAGTAATGAAATAAACCACAATCACTACTTTGAGAATGTCTTACCTTTTGGCCTGGCCAATAAACTGCTTATATGTGAAACTTGTAACTTTATGGTGACTAAGTCAACCGACTAACTTGATCGGAATTACCCCACTTTTTAATTTTTCAACCTTAAACGACCATCGTAACAATATATATTTTTTGTTGATGTACATGAGACTTATGTGGTAATGATTTACGGTTACAGAGTATGGGTACACGAACAAAGTAAATGAGAAGAGCGACGTGTACAGTTTCGGAGTGGTGCTGATGGAACTCGTGTTGGGGAAAAGGCCAACGGAGGCGGAATATGGAGAAAACAACGACATTGTGAGCTGGGTTAGCAGCAAATTGTGTAGCAAAGAGAGTGTGTTAAACCTAGTTGATTCAGAAATCCGACAATCTTACAAAGAAGATGCCATTAAGGTGTTAAGGATTGCAGTCATGTGCACGGCCAGGCTCCCAAGTTTAAGGCCTTCAATGAGGACTGTGGTCAAAATGCTGGAGGATGCGCAGCCGTGCAATTTGTTGGGAGTAGTTGTTTGTAAACAAGAGTGTTAATAATTATTAATAAAACGTGCGACATCAACTTTTGAAATAATAGTTAAATAAACTAAACCCTGTGCAATAGAGTCAGTATCATTCAAAAAAAAAAAAAAAAAAAAACTGAATCCTGTGCAACTATCTTGATGAGAAAAAGTTAATAAAAATTAAACTCGTAACGTTTAAATACAAGAGTCATGCTCCAGTCACTCAATCACACATTTAAAAACAATAAGCCTCTTAACTAGTTACTATATTGTCTTTGAATTATGATAAATAACTTTTTCTTTTCTTTTCTTTTACTTCTTTGCATTCCCCTTCTATTTTATTCTTTCCTAATGATTTCTCCCATCTCTATAGACTTGTCAACATAAGTTTAGCCTAGTGACCCAACTCGTCTAGTCACTTAATGAAATAGGGACGGGCTAATAATTTAGAGGTTGCCCTTCAACCCACCAATAATAATAGATTTTCTATTTAAATTTTATCATTTTGATTTTTAAAAAAATTTTGGTACAATTTTGCTTTGAATGGTTTAGACTTTAGACTTATTATTATTATTATTATTAAAATGAAATTTTATTGATAATGAAAGAAAAGGCAAAGCCCATACAAAAAGGAAGCACAGACATACAAATAAAGCCCATGCAAAATAAGGATAATAGACATATTCCTATTTAATCTTATATAATAGCTAGCAAATTTCACATGAATTGTAACTATATTAGACAATATTTTGTGTGACGAGCTCAACTAAGGATTCATTTATAGACCCTAACCCTAGCATCAACAACAGGAGTTCATACTATTTATCAGTGGTTTCAGGTGAAATTTGTAATCTTTGTATATCTTTATCTCACTTTGGATGGATATATGCCCTCCTTGGTTGGATTTCATGGAATAACCCAAAGATGCCAACGATTAAAATAAATTAAAAAGGCTCACTATGGGAGGATGCCAACTCCATTATGGAATTAATTTTTGTATTATATTCCAAAGCATGATTACAAATTGACAAGACAAAAATCAGAATCACCTCGAAAGGAATGACTCAAAAAAGAGAAACTATTGATGTTTAAAGAGTCAATATCCCATCACTGGAATTTGATCCTATGACCTTCCTTCAAGAAAAGTCACAGAATTGTTATTTAAGCCCAATATGCTTGGCTAAAAGAGTAGAATTTACTCAGTACATATCAACAAATATTGATTGTGAATTTTCCTCATCACTAAAAAAAAAATAAAAAGGAGAAATCAGAATAATCTGAAAAAAGAGAGAAATCAGAATAGCATGCTCTGCGACCCGGCGTAACGTAAAATGTTATAATCAACATCTAATCGTGATTCCCATGTCACAAAGACAATACATTAATTCTCTCTCAATCGCATCATTGAAATGTCATGTGGAATGGAATTAATATTAAGAATTTATCTTCTCGTAAAAAAATTTAAGTATTTTATATTTATCCTCAACCCGCCTTACCATTAAAAAATGAAATTAACACTAATAATATGTCTTCTCATAAAAAGGTAAAATATGCCCTGGAAACGTGTTCACCATGAATGATGAACACGGATCCAAACGGCACCGTTTTTACGTAAAAAAAAAAAAAAAATTGCGAATGTGATGTTAACGGCACGCGTTTGGTCAGATTATGAATTTTCTGTTATGAGATTATGAATGTACTGTAAATTCATAATCTCATAACAGAAAATGCATAATCGCATAAAAGAAAAACATTTATTAAATTATGAATTTTCTGTTATGAGATTATGAATTTACAGAAAATTCATAATCTCATAACAGAAAATTCATAATTTATGAATGTTGAAGAAACTTGCGCTACAGAGGAGCAACCATGGTTTCGGACGGGAATGTGTAGGCATGGTTCTAAAGTGAATGTGCAGGCATGGATTCATAATTTATGAATGTCCGAAATCATTGCTCACCTCAAATTAAAGTGAAATCGCAAAATGTGAAAATGAAGAAGAACAGTCACGCGATTAATTAAGGGAAAAAAAAAAAGATAACGGTGCACTAACACCGTTAGAATTGTATTCACCATGGATGGTGAACACGGTTCCATGGCATAACGATTGTCATAAAAAGCTTAGCGTTTTATATTTATCATCAACCCACTTTACTCTTATAGAATGAAATTAACACCAAGAATGTATCTTTTCGTAAAAAGTTATATTTTATACTCATTCCCGATCTCCTTTACCATTATGGAATGTAATTAACACCAAGGATATATTGTGAAAACTTCAAGACATTTTATATTTCTCCGAGTCCCACCTTAAAGTTATAGAGTGGACTTAACATAAAAAATATGTTTGTAAAAAGTTTAAAGTATTTTATATTTATCTTCTGTCCGCCTTACAATTGAGGAATAAAATTAATACAACAAATATGTATTTTTCATAAAAAGTTTAAGATATTTTATATTTATCCTTAACCCACTTTTATTTCGGAGATGAAATTAATATTAAGAACATGTTTCTCCTATAAAAAATTTTAAGATATCGTATATTTATCCTCAATCTATTTAAGTTACAAAATGAAATTAATATCAATAGTAAATTTTCTTATGAAAATTTTAAGGTATTTTATATTTATTCTCATCCCACTTTATTATAGCTGCAGGATGGAATTAACATCAAGAATTTATAAGCAGGGTGGGCATCTTTCACTTCCACTTTCACAAAGCAGTTCCTTATCCAATAGATATTCCCATTATGGCTTCATCATTCTCTTTTTAGGCTGTGCAAATCCATATTATAATCTCTATGAAGCTTTGGTCATCCTCAACAACAACATATATATGCAAAGGTCTTTTGGCCTGGCTAACAACTAAAGTCAAGATTGACCACTAACAGCTTAAAGAACGATGAATATAATCAGTCAGTTATAGATAACTTAATTAAGCTGGTTTAATCATCTTTTTATAATTCTTTTTCGACCAGGGTCAGAAGGTTGGCTGCTCCCCCAAGAATGCATGACAGCACATACTTGAGACAACGAACAACCTCAATCAACATATATAACCTTAAATTTGTTGTTACTAAGCACAGGTGACGCGACGAATGTTAAGTGATCGACTTTAATAATTACTGCACTTACATTGTTATCATCATCATCATGTATAGCGCAGGTAGATAAGATCAGAAAGGATCAGATGAGTACACAAATTAAAAGGTTTGATGGATAGATTAACTTTGTTGTCACTAAAAAGCAGCATGTTACATACAGACAGCTTTGAGTGACAGAAAATGGGGAAAAACTGTTGTTTTGGATCAGGCAAACATACTTGTCGTCGTTGCACCAATCTGCTACTAGGAAAACCACTACCATTATTTCAAAGGAAGATTTAAAGGCAATGCATGACATGGGATAATGAATGGGACAGACAATTAAGGAAAGTATAGAAAACATGCAGGTTTAACATATGTTTCTGGGAATTGAAGCATGTGCTCCATCTCAACTAAAAGCCTAAACTGATAGTTGGATTGCACATTAATGGTTCTCTGCAGGTTTAACATATGTTTCTGGGGATCTGAGGCCTTGAACTTCAGTGTCAGGATCCAGCGCTTACCACTACGCCAAAAACTTAACTGCTAAGCAGTCATCAGCGCTACGTTTCGATGGCGGGATGCTGGACTCTGGTCTTCGAGCCGCTACCCAACGGGCGGTTTAGGGAAAAGGTTGAGATTATGGAAGAAGAAATTAAAGAAGGATTACTGAGACATCTCAATCAGTATAAAGGGGGTTTAATTATATAAGTTGATGTTATTCTCTACAGCTCTGCACTAAGCTAGTTGGGTATAAATGTGTAAAGCTAGCATCTTTATTGCAAAGATACACATTATTCTTGTGTCCATCTCCCACCCCTGGATGTGTGACATCGGACGACCCTCCTTTCTCCTCTCCAATTAATGCATTATTGTTACTATTGAACCCCATTTATATATTTCTTCCTGGTTAGCTTTCATCTGCCATAACACAAAACACAACTTCCATTATATTCCCCCTTCATCTCTCTACTGTGGGGTTAAAGATCAGATCTTTAATGGCTGCTCAGCGAGCTGTCATCTTCTTCCTTTTGCTGTTTTTAGCAGTGGCGGATGGGTATGAGGGGAGTGTGGAGAAGCAGGGTGAGTTCTTTGATGTTGTGAAGAAGTCTCTGACAGGGGATTTCTTGGCTGGTTGGGATGGGAAACCGTTCTGCAATTATTCCGGGATTGGGTGTGATAATCGAGGTTATGTTGTGAAGATTGATATCAGCCGGTGGGGATTATCCGGCCGGTTTCCGGGGGATGTTTGTAGTTATTTGCCGGAGCTGAGGATTCTTAAACTCGGCCAGAATCACTTCCATGGGAGTTACTTTCCGGCCAGAATCACCAACTGCTCTTTCTTGGAAGAGCTGAACATGTCGGCTACGTATCTGGCGGGAACATTGCCGGATTTGACGCCGTTGCGGGCTCTGAGGTTGCTTGATCTCTCCTACAATCTCTTCACCGGCGAGTTTCCGACGTCGGTGGCCAATCTCACCGAGCTCCGGGTCCTCAACTTCAACGAAAACTGCGGCTTTAACCAGTGGCAACTACCGGACGCCATTTCTGGGCTTACAAAGCTCAAGACTTTGATACTATCGACGTGTAAGCTGAACGGAGTGATCCCGGCGGCGATAGGGAACATGACGGCCCTGGTGGATCTTGAACTGAGCGGAAATTCCCTGGAAGGGAAGATTCCGGCGGAGCTGGGGAAGTTAAGGAACTTGCAGGACCTGGAGCTTTATTACAACAATCTTGAGGGTGAAATTCCTGAGGAGCTCGGGAACCTGACGAACCTCGTAGATTTGGATTTGTCTGTCAATAAATTGGTCGGAAAAATCCCGGAATCCATTTGTCGGCTGCCCAGACTACAAGTCTTGCAAGCTTACAACAACACTCTCTCCGGAGAAATCCCTGCTGTCCTGGCTAATTCGACTACTCTGAGAATTCTGTCCCTTTACACCAATTTCCTGTCCGGGGAAGTCCCGGAGAATCTGGGGATGTTATCGGCCCTGGTGGCGCTGGACTTGTCGGAAAATCAATTCTCCGGGAAGCTGCCGCCGCGGCTCTGCAATAGAGGTAAGTTGATGTACATCCTTCTCCTTCAGAACATGTTCTCAGGGGAATTACCGGAAAGTTACGGAAAATGTCAGACTCTTATCCGATTCCGGGTGAGTAACAATCGATTGGAGGGAACGATACCAGAAACAATATTCGGTCTTCCCCACGCTTCAATTATAGATGTGAGCAATAATCGGTTGATCGGTGAAATCCCCAGAACGATTGAGAATGCTAAGAACTTATCAGAACTGTTCGTTCAGGGGAACAGAATTTCCGGCGAGCTGCCGGGCGAAATCTCCAGAGTTATCAATCTTGTGAAGATGGAGGCCAGCAATAATCTCCTGTCAGGTCCAATACCACACGAAATTGGAAACCTGAAACGTCTGAATATTTTGCTCCTGCAAGGAAACAGGCTGAATTCTTCCATCCCGGAGTCGTTATCTTCGCTTACATCCCTGAATTATCTTGATTTGTCGGGGAATCTTTTGACGGGGAATATCCCGGAAAGATTAGGGGAACTGCTACCGAATCCGATGAACTTCTCAAACAATTTGCTTTCTGGGTCTATACCTGTGGCCTTCATTAAAGGAGGGGTTCTGGAAAGCTTTGCAGGGAATCCAGGGCTATGCGTCTTGGCGGCTTATTCCAATTCATCAAGCACCAACTTCGCTCTCTGTTCATATAGGAAGAAGACGAATATGATTTGGGTTATGGGTTTCTCGGTGGGGTTTGTCATAATCGGAATCGTGCTGTTTCTCCGGCGACGGATGAGTAAACAGAGAGAGATTGATCAGCAGCAGCAGGAGGATCTGGAGATGTCATCCTCGTTTTACACGTACGATGTCAAGAGTTTCCACAGGCTGAGCTTCGACGAGCGGGAGATTTTCGACGGCGTGGTTGAGAAGAACGAAGTGGGAAAAGGGGGATCAGGGACGGTGTACAAAGTGGAGCTGAGCAACGGGGAAGCCATAGCCGTGAAGAAGATGTGGAGCCGGAAAGGGAAAGGCGGGGTGGTTCTCCACCGGGAATTGAAAACGGAGGTGGAAACATTGGGTAGTATACGCCACAAGAACATCGTCAAGCTCTACTGCTACTTCTCCGGCCTGGAATGCAGTTTGCTGGTTTATGAATACATGCCGAATGGGAACCTCGGCGACGCCCTCCACGGCGGAAAACCCCTCCTGGATTGGCCCATCCGCCACCAGATCGCCCTGGGAATCGCCCGCGGCTTGGCTTATCTGCATCATGATCTCCAGCCCCCTATTATCCACCGAGACATCAAATCTACAAACATCTTGCTAGACATTGATTATCACCCCAAAGTCGCAGATTTCGGCATAGCCAAAGTTTTGCAAGCAAGAGGAGGCAAAGATTTCTCCACTACAGTCATTGCCGGAACTTATGGCTACTTGGCACCAGGTAAACACTTTTCTACAATCAGCTAATGTAGTTACATTCTCTAATTAACTGAATCAGCTATCAACTAACAGCCATTTACCAGACAGAACCCTTTATCTAAATTTTTGATTTCTTGTATTAGAATATGCATATTCTGCAAAGGCGACCACCAAGTGCGACGTGTACAGTTACGGGGTGGTGTTAATGGAGCTAATAACCGGGAAGAAGCCGGTGGAGGCGGAATTCGGGGAGAGCAAGAACATTGTGTATTGGGTTTCATCCAAGGTGGAAACAAAGGAAGGAGCGTACGAGGTGTTGGACAAACGAGTGTCGGATGGGTTCAAGGAGTATATGATGAAGGCCCTCCGTATCGCCATCCGTTGCACGTACAAGACGCCGACCCTGCGCCCGACCATGAACGAGGTTGTCCAACACCTGATAGAGGCGCAGCCGCCGTCCCAATTCGATTATTGCTGCAAGTTGTCGCACAAGACAAAGAGCATCGACCCATGATGTTGTGGGGGTACGTACGGTGCAACGTGAACAGTACGTACAGATTTTGGCCTGCAATATTTGACGAGATGTAACAGCATATATAATATACATAGAATATATAACATAGCAGTAACGTTATTATTATTATAACCCCCTTTGGCTTTTGCAAGACAAGTGTTGGTAGGAGCTTACAGATGCTGTTTCCCGCTTTTCAATTCCTTTTCTGGTCTGTTGGAGACTTTAATTATCATCATCATCAGTGTAACTGCTTTGTGTCAACGCATAGCATCTGTATTTTGTAGTGAACCATAAATGTAAATACTTGTATTTGGCCACGGGCCACACACTAATGCTAGTTTTTTAGATATAAATAAATAATAATAAAGATAGACATATAGGAGTTTGAAGTGACCTATAACGAACTCCATCAACAACATGAGTTGTTTTTTTTTGTACAAACACGCGAGACCTAGGTTCAGTTTGGTAAAATAGTTAACTTTTATGTTAAATTTAACTTATTTGACCACTATTAGTTATTTGACTTGGTTAAAAAAATTAATATAAGTGTTTGGTTAATTAGTTTTTTTAACTCCAAAATGCTAAACTTCAAAAAGTTAGTTAAAGCAACTTTTTAAATTAGTTTTTTTTAAAAAGAAATTATACCAAATAACTATCAACTAACAGCTAATTTACAAACACTTTTTTACAATCCGTATCAACTAGTTATACATTCTAATTAACCTGATCAGCTAACAGCCATTTACCGAACATAGCCAAAGCGGACAAAACAAAAGTGAAGGTCTAGCTATCCTAGGTGCTGATTCGGAGAGGTAGTATAGCTTTTGCTTTGTTTTTGCATGAAGTGGAGTAGTGCTGATTCTTGGATGGTGAATGGGGAGGTGAAGGATCTGATCATGCACAAACACAAACACCATGCCCGCAGTTGATTGATTGATTGAAGAGGGCATCTCTTTTGGTTGTGTCTCCATTTATGCAAAGCTAAATACACACTAAAGAAAAGCCTCTTATTATTGCGTCTCTTTTTCTAGTTGAGTTCCACTCTTTCTACTGTTCTTGTTGGAACTTGGAATATAAATGCATATATGCTACAACAACATCAACTAAAAGGGAACCAGTAATAATCACAAAATTTCAAGTTGAACTTCCTGAGAGTCATTTATTAGCTTACTTTCTTGATTTAAACATGTCAGCTACGTACAACCTAGATTAGTTTACTTCGATCTTGTAGTCATTTGCCTATTAGAATTACGAAGTAAGCTTCGCCTAAAGTACCTTCCGGGTAGTTGTGGAAATAATTTGTATGTTATATTTTAATACAGGAAAGTTGATGGATCCCAGGCCAGCTCCAAAAAGGAAAGGCAAAATTCAATGAAGACAAACATGGCTTTTGGGATGGTGGAGGGTGCATCATATCACCTACTGTACATACACAAAAGGCTGCAATAATAATTCCTCAATGGAATGGAATGAAATGCATTCTTCTTCCTCATCCAAACAAACGCCATTGGTACAAAGCAATTATATTTATATATATTTCTGTAAAGGACATAAATGTCCTCCAAACATATACTATAATATATATCCCATAAAAAAAATTGGTTACCTAGTACAGGTGGTGGATGAAATAATGATAGTATTGTTAATAAATCTATAAGTTTAATTTTACTAGTGGCAGCAAGGTGTATACAAGCATATGGGAGCTTGTCTTCAGGGCAAAACCAATGAATACCTTAGACTCCATGAACCCGCTTTCGTGGAAGAAATCAAACCCTCACCATACCATTGTCCGTTGAAAACAAATCTTAAGTGAGGTTTCTTATCTACTAAACCAATACTCGGATACTAAGAAAAATTCTAAAGTATAAATTATATTGTTGTCCCCAAATCTAGAACTTTCCTCAAATTTTTTTAGATTATCTGCAAACTAAAATTGCTAGTAGACATGGTGAACTTTTCTATAATAATAAAAATAATAATATTCCCAGTCAATTTACATTTCTCAGTATCATATCATTTTAATGAACTAATATGGGGTAATTAAATAAAAAGAATTACAACTTAGCCTATGCTTGGTACTTCAAATAACTTTTGTAAACGCACCCTACATCAACCAAAGTAACTTCCCTTTACTCTATTATTATCAAATCTTAGTAATTAAGTTACTTTGGTTGATGTGGGGTGCTTTTACTAAAGTTATTTGAAGTACCCATACTTTGGTTGATAGGCGGCGCTTAGACAGCCGAGGCTACCTAGACCACCGATTATGATGATACGTTAGGCGATCGGTCAGTGTCTAGTTCAGATTTTTGCAACACTGGTTGTGGTGGAGCTCAAATGGTTGGCATTGCAATACAATGTGTCTCTCTCACTCTGTGATCGAAACCCAGTTTCTCTTCTCTCTGTGTGGTTCAAGGCAGACAGGAAAGAGCCAGGATAAAAAAAAATTTACTTTTCAATTTCTTCCGAAAAATGCAAACTTTTTTTTTTTTTTTTTGTTCAATAGAAATTTCTTTAGTGAATAGAGGGAAAAGAGTGAACTTTAATACCAAAAGATATATCTTTTTTAGTTATTTATGTTAAATTGTGACATTTTTTCTCTGGAACTATAGAAGTGAAGATACAAAAGCTCTGTGATGGATCAGAGTCATGTATAATGCAGTGGAGAATCTATTCAGTAAAGAAGTGAATTTTCTATGTGGGTATGCACTCACTGCCACTTACCTTGACTATCAAGAAAAAAGAAATTTAGTGCTTGCTCTGGTATAATGATTTAGATGTTGACGATAATTATTTTTTTGGTTAGACCATGAGGTGTCTGAGCATATCCTAACTGTAGGAGGTACCTTTAAGCCCGTACTAATCCCCATTCGCAGCGAACCAGTCCAATTAAGGGCAAAGTGCTGACCAGATTGGTTTTTCCATACGAGAGGAGGTTCAAACTCCCGACATCTCTTAATGGATGAGAGTACACGGCCACTCACGCTAACCAAACTGGTTATGTTGATGACAATTTGTGCCCTTCAGTGTGTGCGTGTGGGGGTGGGGGGGGGGGGTGGGTGGATTATGGGTGGGGTTGGGATGAAGGTATTAATTTTTGTGCAATTGAATTTCTTTTTGTTTTCTAGAATTCCTTAATGGTAATGCATAAAAGATGCTATTGAAACCTTTTTAGCCAAAGCTTGTCTCACAACTATTGGTGTGAGAATCATTTTTCTATAGTTTGGGATACATGAATGCATTTTGCAACTATGTTGCTGTTCAAACATATTCCCTCTTGGATCCTTCTATATGTTCATACACTGTTTTTCCAAATAAAGGTTACCTGTTAGTCTGCACAGCACTGCTTCGCTCTTATTGCCATCCATAATGCATCATTCAAATTTCGCGTCTGCCTTCTATTGATCTGAAACATATGCATCGGGGAGGTTACTTACTTGCAATAACGCCCGAGCTTTTGAACAAGGCGGTTTTCTATCTCTAATCTTTTCTTCATCAATGAAGTATACTTGGCAAAGGTTTCTTGGTCTCCAGGAAGTGATGCAAGCTTGGAGTCGAGAGATGTTTTCTCCAACTTGTTCGTGTACATGGAAGATATGGAAACATAAGTGCCGTTTTTGTGACACAACCATCCATGAGCCGCCCTCAACGCCGCTCCAAGGGAAGCTGAGTCTGTACAAGTGAGAAATCATTATGTGACAGGTAGGAAGCTGCATTCAAGAATGTGATGATAAGATATGTTGAGCATATAATATATATATATAAACATATTGTGCAGTCCAACTATCAGCTTAGACTTTTAGTTGAAATGGAATACATGCTTCAATTTAGTATCAAAGCCAAGCATATAATATGGTTTTCAAGAACAGGCAAAATGTCTGTCCAACTATCAGCTTAGACTTTTAGTTGAAATGGAACACATGCTTCAATTTGGTATCAAAGCCAAGCATATAATATGGTTTTCAAGAACAGGCGAAATGACTAACCCGGCTTTTGGGATGTATATACGTTGCATCCAAAAACGGATGCAATTATGCTCAGAATGTGATTATTTGCAGATGCTCCTCCAGTTGCAATTATCCTTTTTGGAGAAGGCATACCAAATCTCTCAGCATGAGCTCGCATGGAAAGTAATTGCCCCTCAATTATTGCTCGAGCCTGTAACCAAATTTTGTGTATTTCTTGCATCTTTTCGCACAGAATTTGACAGAACCAGTCTATTATATTCCACTATTCCATGATCTTTCATTGGAGATGACTAACCTCAGAGGGAGGATCAAACGCCTCAACCTCTTGTTCTTCCATTGCTTCTGGAGAGCCCCCGTTGAAACCTTTTACAATGTAGCGGTGGAAACCAACTGCAACCCCGGCTTGTGAGTTTCATTTATAATCTTGAAAAATGCAGAATCTGGGAGTAAACTGACCTGGTAAGGGAGGAAGTATTTCATGCTCCTTGTAGTAAAAACCGATCTTTCCACCTGTAGCACAAAATGCAATACTATATTGATCTAAAAGAAGCCAAAATATATCATACCTACGTAAATAACAAAGCTAACAACCATTCTGAGGTGGTGTTTGTTGCAGGAAAGAATCGAAGACTTCCCAAGATCTGTTTGCACATTGATTACGAATTTCTGTCAAGGATTCGAGCAAATGGTCAGTATAATGGATTTCACGAACAAAGCATTCATAACTTAATCCTGTTAGAAGTTACAAACTTCAAATGCTGTATACCAACTTTTTCTCCACACACAACGTACCTTCACGAGTCAAAGATCCATTCTTGTATACCAACATTACCATATAGCTTCTTGTATCTACTGGATTTGGAAAGACATGGCCTTCTAGGCTTGGGTTATAGTCTGCAGTGATTCCAAATACCTGTGGCACAGGGAAAAAAAATACCCAGAGAGAGTTTCACTTTTGTGCTAATTTCAAGTAGAAATGCAAACAAATATCAAAGAAATTTGTAAAAACCATATTGCATATTAAGTCTGGTTCAGCAGTAATCAGAAAACTAGCTTGATAAGCTCACAGAGAACAAGGGAAATTTAATCGTTTTAGTTGTTAAATCAATGAGAGAAGGGGTAGGATATTTCTTACTGTGTCACTAGTGCCCAGACTTATTGCCAGATCTCCTGGAGTATTGAGGGTCAGCCCTACAAGTTCAGAAGGTTCTCTTAGTAGCATGATGATGAAGAATTGCAAAGTTGATAAGAGAAAGGTCACACATTCCTCTCAGAAGTGCTGGTTGACTGCAGAAAATGGTATGTGTAGGGCATGGCAAACAAGAAACTCACAGAATCATGTGAGAATTTGTGAAGGGATAGACAATTTGTAAGTGGCTACCATGAATGAAATGAGGAAGAGCTTTCACCTGCTAAGCTGTTAGGGTTGTCTCCAGACCAATGAACAACCACACTGTCTCTGTTGAAGTGATACCTGAAGCAGTTTGTACAAGATCACATCAGCAAGAAACATAACGAAACCCGTCTTGTGACCCTAGCCAGCAGAGGATCACAAGGAGGTAAACCAGTCTAGCAAGCAAAGGATCACAAAGAGGTAAACCAGTCTACCCAGCAAAGGATCACAAAGAGGTAAACCAGTTTAGCCAGCAAAGGATCACAAGGAGGTAAACCAGTCTAGCCAGCAAAGGATCACAAGGAGGTAAACCAGTCTAGCCAGCAAAGGATTACAAAGAGGTAAACCAGTCTAGGTTACCCATAGCTGACTGGCTCAAAGGCCTCAAACCAAGAAGGCGAATAGGCAACCTTGTGATTAACCGTCTGACCAACTTGACTGGGGTTAATTTTTCGTTATGATTTCCACACCAAAGATATGACTTACTTCTTTACATAATAAGAAGCAATAAGACCAGCAACAGAATGTGAAGGTGCTATCTTCCCCAGTTTCTCTTCTAAACCTGGTGCAGTAGCCTTGCAGAGAGACATTCATACAATAATTGAGACATTAAAATTTCACAAGATCTTTCAATACTGTAAACCAGAATCGAACCTCCAGAGCGATTTTAGACCAAGCCCGGGTCTTAATATCCATGAGATTCATCCCCGCGCCATCAGTTTGATCAATGCAGGCATAACCCCCAACGAGAACAGATGCCATGAACGAACTAACAAGCGAAATCCTCTCTGTGTTATCATAAACTTCACTTTGTTCCTCAAATATCTTCTTCACCTGAGGACCAACATATCTCTCATGAGCTCGAGAACCAGTAAGTTTTGCCAGTTCTAAAGCCCCTCCAACAGCCTCCTCTATGGCTCTGCACTGCTCTGTGGTGCTGCAATCCATCCATATCGGAGATTCTTGAACTGAGAATGCATCACGAAGCTGATCCACCAATGGTTTCTTGGAATCCAGGGAAGATAATACTTGAGAACCGCCTTTGTTCCAGTAAACGCTGCCGTGCTGTTGAGCACTGCCGGAAATTGCAGCGACTTTCCCGAATTCCAGATTGGACTTGTCCAGTTTTTCAAGAATGAGGTCCAGAGCTTCGACCCACATCAATGGAGGTGAAACGATTCTCCCGTTAACCAAAGGGTATCTGTAAACGCCACCCACGGTTTTGTAGTGAGGCAATTCGAGATCATAATTCACAGTTTCTGACCGCACAATCGTGAGATTAGCGTCTAAAACAGTCGCCTTTAGTGACCTGAAGATTACAAAAATCAAACTTTGAAGGTAAAGATTCCAGTTTGGAGTTTCGCAAACTCCAGGAGCAAGAAATTCCGATCACAGAATCATGAAACTTCCTGACCTAGAAATCATGAATAAGGAAATGTTGAAAGACTTACTGGGTAGAACAGTCGAACCCCAGGAACAGAGAGTCCTGAGGGAGGGAACAATCCTCCATTAGAGCAAAGCTAGCATTAAAGCTGTCAAAGGTTAACTTATTAAAGCAAGTTTTTTCTTTTTTACTCATACATATATTTCATGAGACCCAATTTTTAATTTCTTGCCACATTTCGGGTAAGTGACAAATTTTTAATTTCTCGTCACATTTCGTCTCGTTGACCTAATTTTCAGTCAATTTTGAGTAAGTGACTTATTTTAAAAGATGAATTTGTCATTTTTGATCATCCTTCTAAAAATGTTTAAGAAAAAAAGAAAATCGGTGAAGTGATTTATCTTAAAAGGTAAACTTGTCATTTCATCACTTTCCGAGAAATTTAAGAAAAAATTAATAAAAAATGATAAATTTATTTTTTAAGATAAGTTACTTGTCTAAATCGGTGATCAAAAATTAAGTTAGATTAAGTTAGATGTAAAAAATGTCAAAAGGATTTAAAAATTGTGGAACTAAAAGTGGGAAAAACTCTAAATTGTGGAACTAAAAGTGGGAAAAACTCTGTTGAAGCAGATGTAGATGTTTCCTGGGCTGCTTGTTAGCCCAAATGGATAGTGAATTCTTGTTCTCGAGTGATGGCTCTGTTTACGGTTATGATTACAGACTTTATAAATCCCTGAGGCAAGTAAAATAAGAAGTAATTTTCTGCAAATTTTGCAATGCAACTCTGAACAGTAAATTTTATTGGACACGGTTTTGTCTACACACTAAATAATCGAAAGAACATTTTGAACTACGAAATTCACAAGCGCCCGAGTTTTTCAACAAGGCGATTCTCGATCTCAACTCGCTTCTTCATCAGCAAAGCGTACTTGGCCCCGAGTGCTTGATCGCCTGCAGTCACAGCGAGTTTACAGTTGAGCGACGTCTTCTCCATCTTGTCCATGTACATGCTCGGGATCGGTACAAATTGTCCCTTGTTGTCGCACAACCAACCATGAGCAGCCCTCAAAGCGCCCCCGAGGGAGGCCGAGTCTGTTAAGCAATGAGACGTAAAAAGATCAGAGATCAAAACATTCTTTGCATTTCTCGTTTTTAAACATGTTCCACGCCAAATTGCTTTTTCTAGCTGGATACGAGTAGTGTTTGGTTCAAAGAATAAAAAAAAAGGGAATAGAATAGAATTTCGACATGAATGGAATAAGTAAGGAACAGAATAGAATAGGAATAAGTATTAAAGGACAGAAAACGGGTAGTGCTGACCTGGCCTTTGCACCGTATAAACATCGCACCCGAAAATGGAAGCCACCATGCTTAAAATGGCATTATTCGTCGAAGCTCCACCAGTTGCAATCATCCGCTTTGGCGGAGAAGGCAGTCCAAACCTTTCAGCATGAGCTCGTATAGAAAGGAACTGCCCCTCGATTATTGCTCGAACCTGAAAGTGCAGTTCGATTCTATATTGGGTCCCGGTACAAGCATGCCATCAAGTTCTACGCTAAGATTATTTCAAAAGACAAACTACCTCAGAAGCGGGATCAAATTCCTGCACTTCACGTTCTTTTACACCATCAAGAGTGTCTCCCGTGAAATTCTCAAGAACATAGCGGTGATACCCAACTATATGCATAAGCAACTTCTTTGTATTATTAATTATTTAAAAAAAAAAATAGCGGGACAAGTAAAAGGTGCGGATTATCGATAAGTGAGCTTACCTGGGAGAGGAGGAAGTATCTCATGATCCTTATAATAAAAACCTAATTTACCGCCTACGAAAGAGAAATATCACAAGTAGCATCAGACCAACTAAAAAGAAAAGGAAAAACATAAATCTGCAAGGTAAATCTAGGTTTTGCTAACCATTCAAAGGCGGTGTTGACTCCAGATGTTTATTGAAGACATCCCAAGATTTGTCTGCACACTTGTCGCGTATATCTAAGGATGCACGTTTTCAATCAATTGTGCCAATTAGTGTTCGGCTAACTTTAGCAGAATCGAGAGTCCATTATATGCTAGATATATATATATATATATATCCAAATATGTACCTTCACGAGTGAGTGAACCGTTCTTATAGCACAGCATTACCATGTAGCCTTGCGTATCAACAGGATTAGGAAACACGTGCCCCTCCAAGCTGGGCTTATGGTCAGTCGTGATTCCAAAGACCTAGACAAACAAGAATTAAGTTTGCACAAAAAACTCGTAAAATCCCCAAGAACGTGGGGATTGAATATAATGGATTCACGCACAAACTACATCATAGAGGCAATAAGACAATAATAAACTGATAATATTAAGAACGAGAGGGGAAAATAAAGCTTACTGTGTCACTTGTGCCAAGACTTATTGCCAGATCACCAGGCGTGTTAAGAGTCAAACCTACGTCCAAAATATGATACAGTCAGCAATATTCCTTCTAACAATAAACACAAATGTTTATAAAACCCCGAGACCAATCATAAGTATCCTTAAGACTATCCACAAACCACAAGTCAAAATGAATAGTAACAAACACCAACATCGACAAAACCATTCCAAAAATTATGAACAGAAAATTTCTTCACCTGCCAGGCTGTTGGGATTATCTCCAGACCAGTTAATAATCAAACAGTTCTTGTTAAAGTGATACCTGAATCATAATCATCGAGAATGCATTGGTCAATGTCAAGAAAATTTGCTTTGTGTACATAACGAAAATAAAATACTTGAAGGAAGTAACTCTTTTTTAAGATTAAAGATTAAAAGTATAAAAAGGGGAAATCGTCATAGTTAGTCTTAATAACAGAAACCATAACTCTAATTACAGGCAACAAAAATAATTTTCATGCCACTTAGACACGAACCTCTCCACAAAATACGATGCAATAGGACCTGCAACACCATATGCAGGGGCTAACTTCCCCAATTTTTCCTCCAAGCCTGGTGCTGTTGCCTATACAACAACATCAAAGTTAAATATTATTTAATTTAACAAGAAACTAAACGGCCTTGAGTTTTGGATTTTCAACTAACAAACCTCTAAAGCAATCTTCGACCAAGCCCTCTGCTTAATATCCATTAGGTTCATGCCGGCCCCATCAGTATGATCTATAGAAGCATACCCCCCAATAAATAGGGATGCCATGAAAGAGCTAACAAGGGAGATTCTTTCTGTATTCTTATAGACTTCTGGTTGTGTCTCAAACACCCTCCGTATTTGTGGGCCAGTGAATCTTTCATATGCACGAGAGCCTGTGATTCTAGACAGCTCCAACGCACCTCCAACAGCTTTCTCAATTGCCTTGCATTGCTCCGTGGTGCTGCTATCCATCCAGATCGGTGACTCTTTCGTCGAAAAAGCTTCACCTAGCTGCTCCAGCAATGATTTCTTGGGATCTAATGACGACAAAATTCCACCACTCCCGCTCTTCCAATACACACTACCATGTTGCTGCCCACTACCCGAAATAGCAGCAACCTTTCCAAAATCTAATTTGGACTTCTCGAGCCTCTGGAGTTCAAGCTCCAAAGCTTCAACCCACATTAAAGTAGGTGAAACTATTCTCCCATTGATTGAAGCGTCGCGATAAACACCATCTTTGGTCTTGTAATGGGGCAATTCAGAATCAAAATTAACCATCTCTGTGGCTACAATATTTAGATTGGCATCTAGCACTGTCACTTTCATTGACCTAAACATACAAAAATAGGAATCTTTTTTCACTTAATTTGATCATAAAGTTATAATTATCACCATTTACAGCAACTCCCATCATGTGATCATCAATTCAGAGAGTACAACATAAATCAACACAATTTGGCATCAAATTTGATACTGCCAAAACCAAATCATATAATCTACAAGATGTCCGAGATTTCAGTAATAAAAAAGACCCAGATTTTACAACCAAAAGAAAGCGCAAATTGAAGGTGTGGGAGTTCATAAGAATAAGAAAAATCAATGCGGAAGAGTGACTCACTGAGTTGAACTGTCAAAGCCGAGAAAAAGTGCGTCGTGTGGGAGAGTGGAAGCCGCCATTGTTACCGCCAAAGGTTTCAGAGAAGATTCAGACCGGCAAAGACACAAACTTTAGCGATAGTACGAGGTAAAGAAGATGATATATTTCCACGAGATGTCCAGTCAGCTATCTACTGGATAATGAAGGACTATCAAAACGGTGAATCTTGATTGAGTACGGATTAGATAATAATATTTTCGATAATTTTGTTAATATACGAACGATGAAGAAAGTATTCGTAGGGGATAATGGCATAATGCGAATTTGTCTCACAATTATTTACCTTTTTATATCTCTTTCTCTTAAAATATTGAACTCTCAATTAGAAGGGTAAACGAATCGAATTTAGTCAAATATTTCATTATTCGATTCGAATTTGACTGTATATTGAAATATTTGTATTCGTATTCGTTTAATATTGAAATCTCAATTTGAATTCGTATTTGATTCGACCAGTTTATTCGTATTCGATACGACTCAAATTCGCGAAATCCCTAACTTAATCTGTTACAAAATTCTCCAATAAATTAAGATAAAATGTAATAAAAATTTACATTTAAATAGCATAAAATATTCAAATATATTCAAATACTATTTAAATCGAATACACTCGTATTCGAAAAAAAATTGAATGAAAAAAGTATTCGAATTCGAATCGACATATTCGAATTCGAATCACGAATCGAATTTTTTTTATTTGATTTTTTTACGCTCATACTCTCAATTTTAAGGTTTTTATATCCCGACCCAACATAACATTTAAAAATATGTTTTCATTAAAAAAAAAAAAGTAAAATATATTTTCTGTACATCAAATGAATTTAGTTTTTACTAACATTCTTTTTATTAAATCTAACACACATAATTTTTTAAATACAATTTACATATTAGGTTATTTGCACACTCTTAACTAATGACAACATATTTAATTATTGATCTCTTCACTCAAAAATGACAAAATATTACTAGTAGTAGACTTCTCTTTTTTCTTTTTTTTTTTTTTTTTTTTTTTTTTGTAACATAATGACTGATGAGTTTGCTGAATTTATGTAAAGCCCATTTAATGTTTTGGATCAAGCTGTCCACAATAAGTGAAGCCCAATCCAATCAATTCAACTTAAA